ACCCATTCAGCAAGGCCTAGTCCAGCCTGATGGGTGCAGAAATGTCTGCTTGGCCTGACCGTCGCATCTTACTAACTATCTTCTCGCCAACCAGCAGCCTAGTCCGTCCTTAAGCCTTGAGCGTCTCGAAGAAACCGGTTCTTGTTTTTGCCACATTTACCCAAGGACCCGGGACCCGGCCAGTTTCAAATTGCCCTGCGTAAAGAATGCCCAAGTTGGTGTTTGTGGTTTCCAGAGCAACGGCAGCCAGTTGCGGGCTTTTTGGGACAGAAGTTGAGAACGCAGAATTACATATACTAGCATTCTTGATGAAATTAGAGTCACATTCAATATAATACAAACTCAAAATCTAGTTAAATCTTCCAGTGATGGACGGATAGCAGGTAGCAATGAAACACAGACAACAATACGAATAAAGCAATGTTTGATCTTAAACAAATCGTTGTTCAGTCCATCTGATAAATCCTTTTATAGTGACATTGATGTAAAGATATTAAATGAAACAAGGACAGTAGCACCATCAGGGCTATTCTGGTAGTAGCTTCATTTCGGAGGGAAAACAGAAATAGATGAAAATAAGGCATTTGCAAAAGGATTTGTATATATAACTGAAATACCAGTTCTTAATCAGTTTGACCATTGGAAGCCTTATAATAATACAAGCGATATTAAGGAATTACACGCAATAACTTTATATCATGTTGAAACTAAATGTTCTTTTTTGCCGGCAAAAGCAACTATGAGCAACATTGAATATAAATTGAAGGATAGGCTTGTTAGTCAAATGGGAAAAAGACAAATTTCAACAATTTGTGATGGATAAACTATTGTTGAAAATAACACATGAAGTACCGTCAAAATTACTTCTGTTGAGTTTAGTATTCGGGTGTTTCATTGATATTGTGAAAATGCACAAAATCATGGCAAACGATAGGGGACTCTCAAAAAAACGATACCCCTGCAAAACGATGGAAACGCTGGAAAGCGATAGGGGACTCTCAAACTAAGTAGCTCAACGGCCGTAAGTAAGTAATTTTGACCGTGCCTCACATGTTTGATGTCTAACAAACAGCATAATTTAATGTATGGCAAAATTCCAAAGAGTTCATCAAAGAGAACAACAAGCGTCAATTCATGATTATGTTTTACAAACAACCTTCGTTGATTATAAAGTCGATTACAAAAGTATTGATGAACTTTGGAAAACTGCTATAGATGAAGAAAGATGATAGGGACTTAGATAAAATCATCAAAAGTTAATCGCAAATGTCAATTTTGGATTATTAGAATTTAAAGGAGCGCTACCGCACATCAAAGCACGTTACTTAAAAGTGTTGAGCAGGCAATCCATTACCAAACTGAATACGGAGGTAAAAATCAGAAATTATTTCATATATCAGGTGAAGAAAAATGGGGTTGAAGTTCCACAGCCAAATGAGTTTCAATAATGTCTCTTGTAGGACTTCTTGAAACAAGGCAAAGAAATTAGTTTACCTACAGTAAAACATGACGTTGCTACGAATGAACTAATCGAAACACCAGTTTATGAAAGTAAAACTGTTCCTATTGAAGATGAATACGACACTGACGAAATACTAGGAATGCTTGAGCAATTAGTCATGTTATGATTAGGGGGGAACTGCCGGGCACAGAAAACCATATATAATTCAAGCACATACTGGAGAATAAAACAGTTTGTAGAACAGAACAAGCGCAACAACATTAAAATAGCAACAGGGCACACCAAGCAACCAACACCACTTCAAGAAAATACACACTGACAACATTATAGGCACTATTTTTCACATAACATACCATTGAGAGCATGTGAAGACTTAACACACTGGAAGAAAATGATGAACTCAAAAACGTCAAATATGAGATTTTCATTCAGAAATCACCTATTATGAAAGTTATTGAGAATATTTTGAATATACGACTGTCAAAAGCAAACCTAAAAATAACATAGACTTTTTTTAAATGCAACATGTAAAAATGTACAAAATGAAGTTAGAAAATTAGAAAAATAGGAAGGATGAGTATGAAGTAGGAAAACTTTTGATTGTGCAGAATGTACTAAAACTGAAGCATCCGTTTTTAATGTAAGTTTGAATTATAAAACTGTTAATATTGGAAATGATGGAATTTTACATTGAAAATGTTAAAACTGAAATTCGGCAGCCTTTACCAGTTGCTAAAATAAGAGGTAATTTCATATTTGCTTACTGTTCTACATGCCATGCTGCTCAAGGTAGTAATATTAATGGCACCATCACAATTTTTGGTTGTGACCATTTTTGGCAAATAATTATCCAGAATGGGTTTTCATAGCAACAACAAGCGCTCGTGATTTAACCAAAGTCAAGTTTTGTCTATTGTACAACAAAAGATGTTGATGAAGTATTTCATCAAGCATGTATTATGAGTTATTTTCAAAGGAAAATGTTGAACTACAATGAACGGGGCGGAAAAGCAACAAGAAGTCTTCCTAAAGAAGGTTATGTTAATGCTCAATGGTTCATAGAAAACCTAAATAATCAGTGTAATTACTGCGGGTGCGCTTTTACTGTTGGTATGAAAAATGGGCACATAAAAACTAGCACAAAGGAAGGACAGCGAGCGACCGCACGAACTGACTAATATAGTTCCTTATTGTTGCCGCTGTAATTGTAGTTGTAAATGATGATAGTTTTAATATGTTAGCAATCCCAATACTACTCATAATTTGAATCATAACCTACTATTTCTTGTAAAAAGTATGTAAAGAAAGATTACATAAGATATATACCTCTCTATATATATATAATATTGGGTGAAGTGATGGAAACTGAATTAGACAATGATATCCATCATGATGCTATGAATGTTGCCATTCCAGAACTGAAAATATGGAATCATACAAGTTGTTACTACTGTTATTGAATACGCTTTGGGCAAAGAATATGAATGAAAAATTGTAACAGGTGGGGGCCTTGCCAAAAAGTAATAGAAAATCATTTGGATATTAAAAGGTTGGTTGAAATAAATGTAGAAGATGGCACCATATTATTTCTAACTTTTTATAAAACCACACATTATGATTATGTTAAACAGTTTCTTAAAATCAGTAAAAAGAAGTCTGAAATGACTGACATATTATGATGTTAGTTTCTCAAAAAAGGGAGGGTATTAAAGACAATATTAAATTATGTGTTGCACGTAAAAAGTTAATGTTACAAATGCAGTTAGGGATGCACATGTTCTTGTTAAAGTGATGTATGAAAGAAGCAAGTAAACTCACTAGGACATTACCGCTTTTGAGATGTTGATGTTTGATATGTGCTGTTTTGAGGTGCTGTTTCTAAAATGTTGTAGGAACCCTAGGGTGCCCCTAACGGTTGATAGTAACAAGTTAGGCAAGGTCATGTCTAACTGATACCCCTCCCTCCCCCCCAAAAAAAAACGAAGGTTTTCCTGATGTTTTCCTGCTGATTTGCCAGAAAGCACAACCCCACAACCCCCCCCCCCCCCTCCCAAAAAAGAATGGAGGGCTTTTATTTTAGGATTTTGTCTTCTTCTTTTTTCGGGCTTCTTGGCTTCTTGGCTTCTTGGCTTCTTGGCTTTTTGGCTTCTTGGCTTCTTGGCTTCTTGGCTTTTTGGCTTCTTGGCTTCTTGGCCTTTTGGCTTCTTGGCTTCTTTGGCTTCCTGGCTTCTTGGCTTTTTGGCTTCGTGGCTTCTTGGCTTTTCGGCTTCTTGGCTTTTTGGGTTCTCGCCTTCTGGGCTTTTCGGCCTTTTGCTGGTTTATGCGGCTTTTGGCGGCCTTGGCTTTTCGCATCCTCCGCATTCCCAGTTCCTCTTCGGCAGGTGGCGTTTTGGCTTTTGCGGCTTTTGGTGGCTTTGGCTTTTTGGGTCCTCTGATTTCCCAGTTCCCCTTTCGTTGGTTTGTGGATTTTGCTTCCCGCATCATCAGCATCACCACCACCCTATTTGAATCATCACTTCTTCGAACATCATGGGAAGAACCCCCCCCCCAACCCACCCGCTACTGTTTAGATTGTTTGCAGAGTAATTGCACCCCTACTTGAATCAACGCTTCTTCCAACATCATGAGGGAGTTGCCGCCTCCCCCCCGTTACTTTAATAGATTTCTTGCAGAGGTTGAATTGCACCCCTATGTGAATCATTACTTTTTCGCGTCAAATTTCGCGAGAAAATGCTGCAAAATACGACGTTTTAAGTTTTCTGTGTAATCCATGTATGTCTGTATGTATGCATTTCTTCGAACATCGTAGGGGAAGCCACCCCCGCCAACCCTCCCGCTGCATTTTAAATTCTATCGAATCCTTTCTTGAACCATTGCACCCCTACTTGAATCATTACTTCTTCCGACATCATGGGGGGGCTGCCGCCCCCCCCAACCTCCCCGCTATGTTTTAGATTTTCTACAGAGGTTTAATTGCACCCCTAGTTGAATCATCAATTCTTTTCAACATCATGGGGGGGGCCGCCGCCCCCTCCAACCCCCCGCTACTTTTTAGACTTTCTGCAGCGATTTTATTGCGAATTATCACTTCTGTCAACATCATGGAGGGGGCTGCCGCCCCCCCCCCCCACTACTTTTTAGATTGTTGTTTGCAGGGATTGAAATGCTTTCCTATTTGAATCATCATTTTTTGACCCCGTCAACCCGCCAGCCGTTTTTTTGTTACCCACGATTTGTTGGTGATGCTAGGGATGTTGGTCGGACATGCAGGGGAGGTTGAAAACAATGCTGGGGATGTTGACGGGCTAGTGTAAAATGCATCAATTTCGCGAGAAAACGCTGTAAAATACGACGTTTTACTGGCCCGGACGAAAAACGGAAAAACAACAAAGCCTAAAAAATCAGAAAATACATCCTAAAATAAATCGCACCCAAAAAGAATACCAAAAAAGGAAGCCCTCACAACCCCACCCCCCCCAAAAAAAAAGTGAATGAAGGAAGACTACTGCGAAACAAAAACCTCCAGCAACTTCTGCAGGGACGAGGAGTCCTTGGAGTCCCAGCGGCACAAGAGCGTCCAGGATACGCTGCATCAGGTCACTGCGCCCCGGAGAAAACGAGAGGGGCGTCACCAGAGCGCCCGGGGGGACCCCTGGGCTGCGAAGCATTTGGCGGTTCCTGGGCGGTTTTCCCAGGGATGGATTTCGGATTGGCCACTCCATTTTGAACAGCCCAGAACATGTTTATTGGTGAAATAGAATCTGGAGATGAAACAGAAGTAGTGTTTTGGGTGCCGATTGTTTAGAAAATCACCCTGGGTTTACTCCAGGTTGAAAGGGTGTCGGTCTAATTTGACCCATGTGTAAGTTGCGGTTCAAGTCTACCTTGGGGTAATCACACGAATTGAACCCTGGTGGAGCAAAGCACACTCTTGGATTTCAGTGATTTGCTAACTTCGCGTGATAAGGAGCACACATTTTTCCCTTGAGTTGAATGTCCAGCGTGAACCCCCCATTTCTCCGAGTACCTGAAATGGATAAGAACTTCCCCGATCGAAAGCCGAGGAGCGTTTGGGCAGACTGAGCCCAACTGGGAACTGAATGGGTTCATATTCAAGTGGGTGTGTTTTGAAATCGGGCAACCCAAAAAATGGTTGGTTGTCCTTGGGTTCCCTTCAAGACCAACCCAAAATGGGCTCTCCCAAGAAAAACACCCACATTCAAGTGCAGTTGTAGTGAGTGGTTTCTTTTTGTGTCCTTTAAATCCAACCAGCAGGCAGCTCCCTCAAAGGACACACGGAGTATAGGGTCCAGAAGCAAATCCGGCCATCACGAGGGAGTTCCTAAAAACATGCCGTGCGTCCTTCGGTTCCTTATAGGTTTCCTTCAGCCTTTTTTGGTTTACGTACCCTACTGCCCTGATCTGCCCTGCATGGTACATAGCGGTTTACACCTCAATGTCTACTCTTTTGCCAGGTCTAGCGCTTCTTGTTAACCATATAGTAGAGAACCTGGGTTTCTTGCCTCCAGATTTCCCCGGGATACTATGATGGTCACTGGATCTTTTCGTTGGGTCCTTTTGTTGTTGCTTTCTAGCGTCGCCAAGCGATTCAGCCCAGCGACGCTGTGCAGGCAGGGGTCCACCTATAGTTCCCTCACCTTGAAACATCAACTTTTTGTCTGCCAATGTTTAATGTCCTCCAATTACCTCTTGTATTTCGGAGTAGATCTACGACACATCCAAGTATCTTGTGTGTGTGTTCCGGAGGAGAACCTGTGACACCTCCGAACATCTCTCATAAGTGTCCCTGGAGTCTCCATAAAAGAAAAAGGGCCCATGACTCCATGACCCTTGTATTTTGGGACATGACCAACCATTTTTCAAGGGTCAGAAGGAGACTCCAGGTGGCACTTCCCCCGTGCTTTCCGGTGGCCGACTTTTCCGGGGCCCACGGAGCTCGAGCTCGACGAGCTCGGAGCGGAGCCGAGGAGCTGCTGAGTGTGGACCACGGCCGCGCGGAGAAGGAGGCGCTGCTGGTGAGGCAGTCCGTCACTTGGACCGCCCAATCTGTTCCTTTTGCCCCTGGAAGTGTTATTGGTGTTCCCTTTTTGGGGTCAACTTTGACCTTTTGCTTGTCCCTTGTTGGCCATTCGTTGGCGTTGGGATCCTTGTTTGGGTTTTCCTACTTTGCGGTCGGTATGTTTTGGGTCCCTTGCACCTTGCGGTTGCCCCTTTTGGGCCAAGTTTGTGGTCGTCTACTTTTGGACCTGTGATGTTTTCCCTCTGTTGGGTCAATTTTGACCTTTGGTTTGGCCCTTGTTAGTCAATGTTTGGTTTCGACCTGTTTTGGTTGTTCCCTTTGTTGGTCAATTTGTGGGCACCCCAAAGAGGTCTTCCCTTTTTGACCTGGCAGAATTTTGACCTTCTTGGTTGATGTTTTCCTTTTTATAGAAAGGCCTCCAAGCTGGGGAATGGGCGGCTTGGGGGGGCGGGGAATAGGCTTCACGATGCTTGATGCTTTCGATTCAAGGTGACGGTGCTCGAGGCGGAGGTCCAACACTTCAAGGCGACAGCGGCGAATGGATGTCATTTTCTGATCGAAAGGAGTGACTTTCAGGTGTCAACATGGGTGTCTGATTTGAGGGCAAACACATGTTTAGAGTTTTAGCCATATCTTATCCTCCCTATATATTTCCGGAAGCCAGTTTAAATACCAATTTAGTAGGCAAGCAGTGGAACCATCCCTGGTGAGACCTTGCGGCAAGAAATCCTGGTTGCTGGCTACAGCCGCAACTGGAAGCACTGTGATAATTAAGGCAAAACATTGAAGTACCTAACACATGCCAGAGTTCATGTATATATATATATACATATATATGTGGTATGTTTTCTGAGGGTATCCTTTTCAGATAGGCTTTGAAGGGGATACCAAAAGGAACACCTGCATGTTTAGGCATTCCCAAGAGTGCTTCACTGGCAATTAGATGGAACATCCCCCTACGTATTCATCCTTGATGATTTCAATGGACTTCTGGTGGTTTGAAGGAAGCCAAGCCCGTCAGAGAGCCAAACCCAATTCTTTGAGGCTTCCGCCACTTGGCGGCAGCTCTGGGGATTTTCAGGGTGAGTCGAGCGTTGGATGTACGGCATAGCCCACAAAACCTTAGATGTTGTCGCAAGGGATCAACGACCCACTTTTTTGTAGACTTGGTTTTCCCTTTTCAACTCTGTTCCCGCTTTGGGGTGTCCTACAAACAACTTTTGCAGCTCTAAGTCTGATCAAGAGTATGCAAGCATTCTTGCCTTTTGCTTTTCAATGGCTTGCCTAGAAGCACAAGCCAAAGGAAACTCAGTTCGAAGCTTTAGACCATCAGTGCTAGGCACAGCAGGTAAGGGGAAGGCGTCCATGATCCTCAGAGGCAAGACAGCCTAGTGACGGGTTGTTTTCTCAAAAGGGGGCTTGTCAGCTTCCTGAATGCTGTTGCGACATTTCGCCAAGAGGTTGCTCCTTACCTGACAACTCCGTTGACTTTCAGGATTCAATTGCGGCGGCCGTGCAGCAGTCCAACCAGGACGGTTGGGTCTGGCCAGAGCGAGCTTCTGTGCGAGATCCATTCAAAACCCCCCTTCCAGGGAAAACAACCCTCCCCAACAAACAAACAATCAAACAAACAATCAAACAAACAAAGAAACAAAACGCCAAGTCGAGCCAAGCCAAGTCAAGCCAAGGCAAGCCAAACCAAGCAAAAAGAAGCAAGCAAGTAAGCAAGCAAGCAAGCAAGCAAGCAAGCAAGCAAGCCAGCCAACAAAGCCGGGGAGGTCAAAGGCCATTACACAAGGTTTGGGCTGGGTCCATTCCCCGATAAACCAGGTTGGCCATGCCATTTTTTTTTGGGGGGGGGCTGTTGAATGGAGCTTATATAGATATGTCTAAAACGGATGCACAATAAGATGTGTTGGGTTATTGTGGTTTTGTCTCCGACTGGGGGAACCCACAACAGTGCCTTCCCTTCGGTTGCACTTGAACTCCCCTTCCCCCGACAAAACCACAGGTTGTCCAAAACAGACGCACCAAAGTCCAGAGAAACTAGCACAAATTTCTGGCATTTTTTCGTTGCCAATGTTCGGCAATCAGTCATCCTTTTGGCTGAACGGTTTTCCCTGACCTACTTCGCACGTAAACAACTACCCGAGGAGGCAGCCGTTGATTCGGCTAGATGCAGCGGTTGGGACCCAGGAAGAGGACTTCAAAACCAACGAATGGATCGCCGATCGGAAAGTTCGATTCGCGGAGGCGAATCGAAGGCATCCACCAAGACCACTGGTCTTTCAAGGGAATTCTTTCTTTGAAGGCCAAAGCAACCCTGGCACAGTTGCCCAGGCCATATATGAGCAACTGACAAAAGTGATGTTGGTTTGTGAAGGACGGGGGGCAATCCAGCTCTCAACAAACACCACTGGCCCAGGAAACACGCCATTTTGCCCGGGGCCCCAAAAATGGCTAGCGTGGCGTTCCAAATTTCCATCCCGTGAGGCCCTTTTGGGCTTTCCAACGGCCAGGAGTTGGTCGACCGGCTCAGCACGGTGGAGCGGTCGCTCACTGAGACCCACCGGGACACAGAGCCACTGGGACCAAGGGAGGTGCCCGGGTCTGGCCCCCCCCCCCTCACGAGTGGTTTGGATCCCTATTAAAGGGGCCTTATGCATCCCATTATATTGCTTGTTTGGTATGTTGCTCTAGTTGCCTCAAACCCTAATTGCGGATTCACCCGTTTTCTGGCTGAAGTCTCCAAATGTGAGCGAACTGTACCAATTGGTTCGGCATGCAAACTGATTGTTACTTTCTGTGCAAACCGTTTTGGACCCAAAGAGACTCTGTTTTGGGCTTGTTTGGCTTCATGAGGGCGGGACATCAAGGAACTTACTAATTGCCGCAAACCAGCGGACTCACTAAATGTCCCATATATTCTTGGAGAAACAAGTAACTAGTTCTGGCTCTAGCTCATGAAGCGTGCTGACCCCTTCCACACCACCCAACCCAAAGACCCTTCCTCTTGAAACTAAAGCCTCAAACCTTCCAATCGAGGTCTGGACCCCTGCAATGGAGAGTCCTTGCTGATGCTTCTGGATCAAGTCGCATTTCTTTGCGCATCGTTTGATCCTGCCTTTTCCCAGAGCCCACCAGTACACTTACCAGTGTACATTGCACAGCGTGCGAGGAGGACATGCGAGCCACAATCAAAGCCCGGGTGGATGAAGGTTAGGGAAAAAACCTAAACATGTAGAGATGACCTCCCTTCAGAATTTCTTTACGTTGGATTGGGTACACCTTTTTTTTGCACCAGGCGTTGATTGTGTCTCATGTGGCCCCTGTTGTTTTTCCCAGACGCTTCAACTTGATTTGACACGCAGCCTGGTCAAGTGAGAGCCAAACAAAGCCCGCATAGTTAGAGGGTAGTGGGTGACAGTCCCAACCATTAGTTCAATGCATTAATTACAAGGTTTTGGATTGGGATTCTGTATCCTGTGGCTGTTTTTTCATTCAGGATCACCAAGAAGACGTCTTTTCCGAGCAAGCCGTGGACTTCAAAGCAAAACTGTTCGTTGCCATTCGCAGCCTTTGCTTTTCCGAAGGGCGCTTGCATGTCTGTTGGTCAGTCAGGGACCCAACCAAGCCCCCGAAAGACCCCTGCACATGAGCCTCAAATGACTAGGAAATGGGAGTGGATCTCACCATCGGGTGAGCAACAGACAGTTCTGAGTGGCACCTTCCCAAAAGCAATCATGAAAGCTGAAAGCGACCCCGGAGAAGACACTGATTTTCCTCTAAGACTCCTTTTCAGGTGTCATCTGTGTCTTGACGGGGTATATATTGGCAGATTACCCTTCTTCCCTGGTTTGGTTTGGTGGTCGGATTTCAGGGTAAATGCGAAACCATCCCACAAACTCCGAACCACCAGGCCGAGTGAAAGAAATGGGAGGCGTATTGATTGCTCTCAAGCTCAGGCAGAAGGCTGCTGCTCGCCTGGCTTCTCGTCTTGAGGCGCCAAAGGAACGCCGAGTAAGGGGTACATAGCCCAAGGGCGACGGCCAGCGTGGATTTATTCAAGAGGACGCCCCTGATGAAGAACTGGGGTTGATCAATCACGTGCTGTTGGCAAGTAAGCAGGGGGAACTCTCATGCCTGCGTGGAAGCACTAGGACAACAAGCCTGTTCAACACATCTTCAAAAGGAAACCTGGTAACCTCACTGCCAGATCCTGGTTGTATCGCTTGCGGCCAGATTCGGGTTTTAACCTTTCAGGAGCCCTTGGGGCAGTTTGACTTTGTTGGGAGGGTTAGGAGCTAAGCCTATTCAGATCAAGCTTGCGGCCACACTTGCAGACAAACAAGGGCCTTTACAGTTGGTGTCGAGGGATCTTTGGGGTTTCGGATGCTTGGGGTCTTTGTGTCTTGAGTTCTAAGCCCCTAAGTAAGGTTAACCCAGCTGCAAGTGGGTTACATAAGTCTCACTACTTACTCGCTTGGCGAACCCTCTTTGGTCCGTGGAGGGTTGGATCCTGTGTTTCCAGTTGCTGTAGGCCACCAGGTTTTCTGGCCATGCCTTGCGTGATGGAAGCCATTCTAAGGAAATGGCGCACGAGAAAGTGGACACCATCCACCAAAAAGCTGAGCACCACGCTGCGGCCGTCGCCGACATCAAGCAGGTGCTGTGCCGCAAGGTGGTCTTAAACCAAGGGGTGTTTCTTTTGTTTGAAACGTTTGTACACGGTAAGGTTCACTCAATGTGAACCAGAATCAAGCATACGTTTGTTGGGTCTTGATTGAAATTGCTATACATGTTTGCGGTCCACAAAATACGGGCACAAATCAAATATTGTATTTTTGGTTGGGGGGCAATGCTCTTTTCAATGCATCCCTAGCAAGCCAGCAACTGTACAGTTAAATGAATTCATAGGGTTTGATTTGACCTTGAAGATCTGAACCGTTTGAATCAGTTTCCCAATTACTTGTGCCACTTACGTGGTTTGACCGTGCGAAAAGCTTTCCGGGGATAGCCAGCCTAGGGAACCTGTTTCAGGTTTTCCTCCCCCCGGAACTGTGAGCGTTGAGGCCGAAAGCAAGGCAAAGCATTTGGAGAGGCACACAGGAAGCAGAATCCAATGCTTTCAGGCCACAGGCACTTGACGGCTTCTGCTCGACTGGAATCCCAGGACCCCCAACGCCTACCGATCGTTAGGGGCTTGGTAAGCCTTGGCAGGCATGTGCCTCACCCAGGCGTATGTAGTCTTCCAATCTATGTATCATCTGTTCGTACTTATCCCCCCTAATGTACTTGGACGTTCAACCCACTTAGCTAGGTTGGAAGCATAGTTCTAAGTCACAAAGCCAACAGTTCAGCAAAACCCCAGTTACCCCAGCCTATAATCAGCCTACTTGGGCGGGTTGAACCTCCAACCCCCTTTTGGTTGTCCCAAGGGCCACTTTTGGGCATCCGTTTGACGCGCAGGAGGTGCTGACGGTGCGCGACTCCGTGGCCTTCTGCCAGGAGCGGCTCAACAAGGCGCCGCGCCAGCGGCTCGGCCGGTTGGGTTTGAGGGTGGAAGTAACGGAAGTGCCCTCCCCCAGACCAACAGCCGGAAGCTCCCACCCCTTTGGAAGACTTCGTTCCATTTACAAAGGCCTTCTGGGAGCTTCCATGTTAGTCTGGAGTGTACCCCTTGCTGATACTGTGGATGTCCCCTCGTATTTGGGAGCACCCCCGAACAATCCACCAGGGAGGTGATTTGTTTTGCCATGAGTCGGGAACATACTGTGGATGGATGCAAAATCCATTTCGCACCACCTAGCAAACCCAACGGAAGGGTTCGATTCCCCAACGTAAATTAAATGCCAACAAACGTTATGGTTTCAACCATGGTTTCAAAGTGGTGCAGGACTTTGTCCATCCACAATACCCCCTGACTTCCCCGGTTTCCAACCCACTTTATAAGGAATATATACCCCTTTTGGGGGAAGGGGTATGAACATCAGCAGGCCTTTTGGGTTCATTTGCGCGAGGGGAATGTAACAAGGGATATGTACAAGCAAGCCTTTGACCAGTCTCTTTGGGGGCCGGGGGTGGCAACCCCCTGCTGGTTCTCACCCATTTCTGGGAGTCCTTGTGGCCATCTGTTGGTTTTCACCCATTGAGATTGTACCTCTTGAACTTTGGATGGCTCAAACTTGGGTGCTCTGTTTAGGCCGGGAACCGCCCCTTGGTTCACCCGTTTCTGAGATTGACTTTCTTGGGAGTTACACCGTTTCAACCATCAAGGCTGCGAGTGAGTTTTTGTTGCGACCTGGCTTTGGAGGGAAAGCAAGAGGAAGCCATTGCCATTTTCGGAGGTTCCCCCAATTTTGAGACAAACCCATTTGACAACCATAGCTGGGGTCTCCTCAGAGGATATGTTTGGACAATAGCATGTTGCTTTTGGTGTAACCTGGGCCAAGTAAGTGGTCTAAGGCTCAAAAAGCCTGGAAGTTAAGGTTTCACTTTGGGCAATGGTAGGGTGGGGCCAACGCCCCGCATGAATCCAAGGGCGATGTTGGACAAGCTGACTCAGTACACGCCTGTCTGGTTTTTCCCAACCATGTATCTTTTGCTGGTGCTCAGGGAAAGACCCAGGGGTTCAGGAATGACTGAATGCATGGATCCCCTCAGAGGAAACTGCCAGGAACTGTTTTGGGGCGCCAGGTTTTTTTCATTCCCCGCCTATCGCACCAGCAAGTCATGCTTGAAACAACCACGGACCTACGAGCCATGGCACGGCCCATTTTTCAGGGCCCCGGAAAACGTCACGAGTCGCTCGGATGGACAAACCCACTTGGCAACCCGCTTGGATGAATCCCTATGAAGCTGAGATACACCACCTGGTGCGAAGTGGACTTTGTTCACCAGGATTAAGCTGCAAGTGCTCCCTCTGTCCAGCAGCGAATAGTATTAGTACATGTGAGTCGGGGGAAAAAAAAACACGTTGTATGTGTCAATGTAAGGCATGATCCCAGGTCTTTTGGACCTATCAAATTAGCTGCACCGCCGCTTGTAATTTGAATGGCAGGAGTGTGTTGCAGCGGCCGCGCAAGTCAAACATGGGGCCGCGCAAGTAAAGCGCAAGTGAAGCGCAAGTGACGCAGTGATGATTCATCATCATCATCATCATCATCATCATCATCATCATCATCATCATCATCATCATCATCATCATCATCATCATCCGCATGGTCGAAAGAATCCGGAAGATTGCTAAATGTTCGCGCAAGTCGCGCGCAAGTCGCGCGCAAGTCGCGCGCAAGTCGTAGATGCCTTGGATCAGGAGTGGCCCATTTCTGCAGTTTGCATTTTCTTTGTTTCTGCAGATCCCAGCAATGAGTTGCAGCAGCCAGCAGCAGCAGCCAGCAGCAGCCAGCAGCCAGCAGCCAGCAGCCAGCAGCAGCAGCAGCAGCCAGCAGCAGCAGCAGCAGCAGCAGCCAGCAGCAGCAGCCGCAGCAGCAGCAGCCGCAGCAGCAGCCAGCAGCAGCAGCGGCAGCCAGCAGCAGCCAGCAGCAGCCGCAGCAGCCAGCAGCAGCAGCAGCAGCAGCAGCCAGCAGCAGCCAGCAGCCAGCAGCCAGCAGCAGCAGCAGCAGCAGCCAGCAGCAGCAGCCGCAGCAGCAGCAGCCGCAGCAGCAGCCAGCAGCAGCAGCAGCCAGTAGCAGCAGCCAGCAACAATTTGCAGCGGTGTACACACCTGAGACCTCATACACTTAAGGGGCATGTTTTTGGGGGACCTCACTCTTATGAAGACCGCCGCTTGGATTTGCAATGAAAACATCCTGGGATAAGAGTTTTAATACGTTTTTTTTTTTTTCCAGCTCATGTGTGGTTTGCCGAGGGTGCCCGTTTTTTTGGGTTGGTTTAAGGTTTGAAATGTAAAGGGAAGCCCAAGGAAAGCCAACCTTCGAGGAGGTCTCCGATCTGTTTTTGGCCGAGGCATGCCCCATATTATGAGTTACTTCGTCGCACGGAGCCAAGGACAGACCTCACGGAGGCGGTTCGCCGCACCTTCGAGGAGATGTCCAAAGAGTTCCACGCGGAATGTGCGGACCTCGGTTTGTTCAACCGGGGGAAACCGGGGGGGGGGGGGGCAGGGGGAAGAAGAGCAAACCCATGAAAGTGCTACTGTGGTCTCCTCCGAAGCGTTTGTTTACGAAGGGGATGTCATGAAGAACATGACGTGTCCATGTTTTCTTGTTGTCGTTGTTATGATAAGTCCAAAGCGTGTAATTACCCCAAATGTGGCCCAAGGTATTACGGATTGCTTACTTCCATTTTTTGATACATTGTTGTTCTGTTCTTTTTTTTTCTTCCTGGGTTTTGTGCATCCCTTACGCGCCGATCGGACACTGAAATTCAAACAATATGCGAGCAGTTGGTGGATCATAACAGTTGGCAACAGCGCGGCCGGGCTCTTGTTAAGTTTGTTGCTCCACATATACCTTCCTTCAAAGTTGTGTAGGCGGCTGGAGTTTGCCGAGCATTCGGGTGTTTGGGTTTGAAGGACTACAAGGAATACAAGTTTGAGGATCCAGCTCCCTTTTGGCACATGGAGGAGTTTCTTTTCGGCGGACGGCAGCCTCAGCCCAAAGTGGACCGAGGCGCCCAGCTCTACATGAAGCCCAGCTTCCAGGCAGACGCGATAACTTCGCGGGTGGCTCGCTCGGGTCCAGGACAGCTTGCCTCCTGGATCTACCTGGAGTCTCCATGACCCTTGAAAAATAGGGTCGTTACCCAAAATAAAGGGGTCATGGACCCATATGTTTAGGGTCATAGAGATTTCAGGCAGACCATTTTGAGTGAGTTATCTTGGACTTTGGTGGGTCAATCAACTCGGGAAGCGAGCTGAGGGAAGCATGAGAGGTTCAGGTCAGTCAGCATATTTAGGAGTGGCGCTCCATTTGTTCACCAGGTCGAGGAAGGGATGAGGCTTATGCGAAACGCCCTATGACACCTCTGGCCAGGTGAAGTTTCCGGAGTCGCTGAACCAGGACCCGCGAGAGGGGAGGGGAAGGTTCTCGACAGATATTCCATGCACCGGGATGGCAAGTTGCCTGGGTTTGTTCCCAGCAATCGCGAGCAACTGTGACGTGTTTGGCGAAGTGTCTTCTGGAAAAAGCGGCAACTCAAAGCTGCCTATGCACTCATGTTGGGTCCTTATCGACTGCACGTAGTGAGAGCTCAGTATCAATACGTTCCCCAAGTTGGGTGTACCCGACATATGTATCCGCTCATGGGACTTATCATCAAGGGCCACTAAGTGGGTCGTCGTCCAGATGCGATGTTCCAAACACGATTTGTAAGTGGCACGTGCCGCCTCGTTTGTAGGGGCTCGAAATCATGCCCACATAAAGCTTCAGGGACTTCTTCACAGCTACTCCACCAGGTAAAGGCCTTTGTTTTTGTTCAGGAAGTAGTCTTCAATCCAAGAGGCTGGGGCTCATTTGGTCTCATTCGCACGGAGAAGGAGAGAGAGGGTATGAATCTGGGCTACAACCCCCTTGCTAGGTCTTTTTAGTTGTCGTCGTGCCTATGTGAATCTTGCTACTAACTGAGCTGCGGCAACATCCGCGTAGGGCTGATACTTTTAGATTCGCATATTTTGTTCATGCCTACATAGGATTCTCCCCCACCTCGGGACCCACCTTTCTACTTGTACACCATATCATATGCAACGGCTAATGTCAAAGGTAAGGGGGCGAGCCTTTGCAGTGCGTGTCTTCTGCTGACGAAAAGGCGTGCGATCTATCTCCCAGGCCTCCGTGGCTTTGGTTCCTGAAACCTGTGAGTGTGTTGCACTTGTTCGAGCCTGTGTTAGAGCTTTGGGCTTTGGATGTGTCGCGCCTGTGCAGTGGAGCTCAACCATTAAAGCAACGGGGAAAAAATAAAATAAACCCCCCCCCCCCCCCCCAAAAAAACGTGTTTTTGCACTTTCCGATAGACACACTGCAAATAGCAGTATTTCCAACAGTGACAAAGTTGCATCTTTTTTTTTCCCCGTGTTCATATGTGTTGATGGATTGATTCGTGTTTCGCATCAAGCGCACGGACAATAACATTTGGCACGATACAACAAGTCTTACTAAACAATGTAAATTGTAGTGTTATTTGTAATGAGCTGAATATATGTAGATGATTCTCTTCAGTGCAAGAAGTTTCCAGGCTGGTCCCTGGGCGGTGGGGGGGACTTTCACATAATTATACACCTCCATAAAATTATCACGTTTACATCTTGTTCTATATGTGTCATGCGCCAATGGCTGCCCCATCCCTCAAATCGCAAATCGCCTTAGGACCTCCAAGAGATCAAGCAGGGCATCGAGGCAGAGAAGTGCGGGCGCGAGGAGACCGCTGCGGCCTGGCTGGGCCAGAAAGGACTTTGGGCACGCAACCCGCTTGCCTTTGTTTTCCACAAGGCCTTAGAATTGGTGACTAACATGAAGCACGTGAGTATACAGTAACTATACATATACACATAAATAGATACGCCTATAATATATATATATATATATGGTACCCCTCCCCCCAGGGACCTTTGTGTGCATAGGGTGTATAAGTATATGTGTGTCAATTCCTTCCCCTCAACCTGATGGTTTTAGAAGGAAATCGTTAGGACTGGAAGTGTTGAATCGCTTGAGGCGGCCTCCACAGTGGAGCTGGGACGATTGGAGCAAGAGATTCAGAAGACCGGGCAGGCCGCGGCATTCTGAATGGTTTAGTGGTTTTAAACATGTTTTGGGCCAATTCAAAGTGAGTTTCGGGTTGATGAACAATAGATGGGGGGGTCTTGTTAAGGTAGGATCCCAAAAACGGATTTCGGTTTTGCTTTTGGTTTTCACCCATGTGGGTACGCATTTAAACAGAAACTGAACCTCCTGAAAAGGGTGTGCTGGACGTGAATCTGCATGAGGGAAGGAACGTGAAGGTAGTCTTGCGCACAAAGAAGATGAAAGAATGCTTTCACGTGAGAAAGCCCTGCGTGCGCGTTGGAGACTTGCTGCTGCGACAGGCAGGGAACGAGAAAACGAGAAGAACTCGACTTATAAACCATCCAGCTGGGTTTCCTAGCAGACCAAAGCCTGGGCTCATTTTTTTACCGATTTCGCAAGGAGAAAGCTGAAACATTTCTCCCGCCCAGCGCGCCGTCTCGCGCCGTCTCCCGGCTTCGCGCGAAGCCGCGCCGTCGGCTTCGCTTTCGCCAGGGGCTGCAGGTCCTGGAGGGCGCGGTGAAGCTGCAGGCCTCGGAGCTGCAGCACCTCCAAGACGTCTTCGCCATGCTGGCGCCGCGGCTTCAACCCATTTTTGGGGGGATTTTTTAGCCGTTTTTTGGGTCCACTGTTGGTCTTTGTTTTGTTGGCACCCTTTTAAAAGGTGGGTTTTTTAAAGGGAGCTCAAAGGGAACCCACCCAAAAAGGGGTACCTGGAGTCTCCGTGGCCCTTGAAAAATGGGGTCATTACCCAAAATAGATGGGTCACGGACGGTCATGGCGACCCCAGGAACAAAAGCGCGCCACGGGCGGAGGGGACGTTAAAAGGGAGGCCTGGTGGGAGGCCACCGGACCTCTTCACTGCTTTTGGCATGCGGCTTGTGGTTGGATTTCCGGGTGGTTGGCTGGTACTGTGGATGGACGAAATTTTTGCAATCACCACCTAAGAAACCAGGGAATGATGATTCCGCTGTAAATACCAAGAGACAAGCATTTCATCATGGTTTCCAAGAGGTGCAAGATTTTGTCCATCCACAGTATGTTTAGTGGGCGCACAAATACAACGAGTTTTCGGCTCAGATGCCAAGGATTGGAGCAAACACCACCAAAGATAGGGACGCACGGGACACTTGTTGCCATGGCTGTGCAACACTGGGTTTCAGGTCACCATTTTCTGTGGCACCAAGAATTCGGAGAAGAAATTGGCAAGATCCCACTTTGGTATCACCAAACGAGATGTTTCCCACAACCATGCTTTGGAAATCGGAAATCCGAGTAACGACTCGCGGGTCAAATAGCATAAATGAACGCGCAGACAAATTTTGAAACAACACCAAATAATGTAAAGAATGCGCAGACAAAATGTTAACATCAACAACACAATAGCAATACATGTTTGTTCGCACCATCTTTTGGATCGACCATTGTAGTACTTCTAAAGACTTATACACATCCTATGTTGGATTTCGCATAGGCCTCTTGAATCCAACCAAGTTATATCACGATGGCAACTGAACCCCAGAGGCGGAGGGGTTCCCTGAAACGAAGAAGCCAATCCCACCATTTGACCCAAGCTCATGTAAAGTTCCCACGTAAAACCCAATGTAAATCCGGAAAACCGTGGCCACCTGTGGCAACCTGTGAGGGCTTTTTTCTTGGAACGGCCACGCCGGCCCTTCCGAGGAAGGCAACTTCCTGCAGACCTTGCGGCAGCAGCTGGACCGGGCCGCGGCGGCATTCAGCAGCACCACCGCGCAGCTGCTCGAACTGCTTCGGCGGGGAGGAGTTTTTTTTCTTTCCGGGAGGAAAGGCCACCAGAAGGAAACGAAGCGCCGGTTTTGGAGGCGAACCGTTGGCAACTTTAGGGGAAATCCGGTGACCTCTGTTCTTTGGAGTTGGTAGTAGGTCCTACTCTTTCTTTCCTTTTTTTTTGGGGGGGGGGGAGGTCCAGTACAGAGAGACACAAAGAGAACTGGCTATTGGTCCATGGTGAAGAATTGGGACCATGGGATCATGGGAGTGTGATATCATAGGTGTAGGAAAAACGAGTACCAAGTGGCAGGTGTGTGCCCTTGGTATCCATGGTTAGGTTGCTAGTTTCTTTGATAGCAGGGTATGTGGTTTTGAGGGTACCCGTCTTCGGTGGGTTTTAAAGGGAAACCAAAAGGAAAACAACTATTGTGGAGAGTTCCCCAAAAGGAGATTCCTCTAAACATGGCCGCTTGTTGGGTTCCATGTTACACTGTAGGGAAGTAATCTAGAGGTCAGAAACCCTGGTTACCCACTGCAGTAGCGGGAAGCGCCGGGATCTATAGTCAACATTTAATGCTCTCAGTATTTTGTTCATCAGTCGACATTTATCCTGTTGTGCAAATTGCAAGTGATACAGAGCCATTGACCAGTGAAGGCTTGAGTTTTTTGCACACGCAGGCGGTTGATGGGGAGATAAGAAACTTTAAGTTACCTACAGAGGTAACTGAAAGCGCATAACCTCACGCCCGGAAGACCACTTTCAAGGGTGAAGTGGCATTAAAGGTGCTTGTGGGGTTCCTGGTTCTACTTAGATCTTCGGCCCACATAGGAAGTATTCAGCGTTTAGGAACCAACCTGGACCCTCACACTACTCTGAAGTTTTGGACATTACCCGTACTGCTGCGGCAATATCCCATTTGCGAGGATAGTTTGAGGGTCCAGGCCCCTGTTAGTTGCAGTTGACACCACCCTGCGGCAAAGGCACCCAACAAGTTTAGTTTATGTTTCTTTTTTGGGGGGGACCTGGGCGGTCCTTTATCCTTTTTGCACCATAAATTGGAAGAAATGTTTAGGTTTTCCTCTCAACATAGTTGATTCAAAAAGAACCACCCCGGCGAGGACCCCCCACTTCTAATGTTGACTTTGCCCCGTTTCAACCACCATGTAAAACCCAGCAAGAAACCAGCCTGCAAGCACTGGGTTTGGAGTGAGTGTCGGCCGCTTTGGATCCCGCATGACACGGGGACTTGTTTTTGCATCAGGGTCAACATTGTTGGAAATCTTCAATCAAACCCTCTCAACAAATCCTCCGCGAGGTGATCAAGCTTGAACATGGGGTGTTGCCCTAACATCGATGTGTTGATTTCCCATGCGATCGATGGAAGCCCAGACCTGGGTTCTCTAGGGTATCTCACTTGACCTTTTGACCCTTCTTGTTCCCATGGATGCTGAGTCAAGGTTCCAAAAAGGTTAGCCTGTAGTTCAAGTCATTTGGGCAAATGAGTCTGAATTATCCGCATTTGGATAGTTTTCGTGGCTATTGCATTTGCAAATGGAAAGGCAGCCCAAACTTATAAGTCTATGGTCAATTTGGGGTTCAAGACACGGGGGACTCACAACTGTTCAACCGCAAGAACCAGGGAGACCCGCTCATTTTCCGACGTCCTCAGTGTATTTGGAGCCGGCTTTGGAGCCGGCTCCGACCCGAGTTTAACAGTCTACACTTTAGATGCTCCAACGGCACTGTCGCAATCGTGCCGCACTTTTCCAGGGAAAATCCGGAGGTGGAGCATCGAACAACTAGAATTACTGTGGATGGACGAAATCCTGCACCACCTAAGAAACCCTAGAATGATATGATGCCCTGCAAATACCACCCAACAATAATTTCCCATCGTGTCTTGGGTGGTGCAGGATTTCGTCCATCCAAAGTATGTTCCAAAAACACGAGGTTTCGAGGGGCTTCCTGGTCACCGACCTGAACCGGACCCCCGCTCAATGAGTGCCAAATGGCCCCCCAAGCAGCCCAAAAGTCACCTGCATCGTTTGATAGGCGTGGACGGTCCAGTTGGTCGTGGGACTTTCTGTGATAAAGGAATCCCCCAAGTGATGAAGTCATCCATGACAAAGGCTCCTGGACCTTGCAATTGCCCGAAACATATTGGTATCACTTCATGATGTTGGGACAATATCCCACTTTGTATGGCTTGTTTCAGGGTCGAGCTTCCCTTGTTGGGGACTCCTTTTGCAGCTTGAAGGCTGGTTTTCAGCTGAAAGCAAAAGGAAAGCCACCCACTTAAGCAATTACACACAGTAGTTTATGTTCTTATGATCATGACTAGATATGATTAATTGCAGGACCCCACGACCGAATTCTATGCCGGGCCTTTTCGTTGGCACTGCCATCGATTCGATTTTTTTCCGGAAGAAGCCGCCCATCAGCCACCGAAAGGCTTCAAGGGCTATCCTTGGGATTTGGAGCTCCCCATGGCTGCGGCGTTCCTTTGTGCTTTCCCGTTGAAGCCACAAAAACGGGTGCCTGGAGTCTCCATGACCCTTCAAAACTGGGGGGCCATGACCGAAAAAATCATGGGTGTTCCGGGGTTTTCCGTTTGCACGCAACTTAACTTTGGTGTATTTTGCTTGGCTGTTAGGACTTTAACTTTTGCCAGCTCATGGGTTTTTCGTATTAAACCACTAAAAGTTAGTCACTTTTCGCAGGGCTTCGCAGATTTCGCCACCGAGACTTCTCAGGGGACCCCATGCCATTGCTCGAAATTTCGGGCCTGGAGGTTCAAGAGCTCCTTCCAGAAGGAGCTGCAAGGCCTCAAGGACTCCGCGGATCCCGCGGCGAACAGTGCGCCAGCGGAGCTGGAGAGGCAGGGCGCGGGGCTGCCATGGCACGTGTGGGCGATGGAAAAAAGATCCCAATGTCCACCAAAGGCGTCCATCCCCGAGTTTAGAATTGAAAAAAGTCTTTGACCAACCACACTTCTGTTGTTGCTCTCTGGGTCGGCCGACCCTTCGTTGGTTCCTGCGCTTGTATACATATATATATATATACACGCGTGCATTATGTATATATATACACATCTACGTGTGTATATGCATATATATGTATATATATACATACACATATATATATATATATATGTATGTATGTATGTATGTATGTATGTATGTATGTATGTATGTATGTATGTATGTATGTATGTATGTATGTATGTATGTATGTATGTATGTATGTATGTATGTATGTATGTATGTATGTATGTATGTATGTATGTATGTATGTATGTATGTATGTATGTATGTATGTATGTATGTATGTATGTATGTATGTATGTATGTATGTATGTATGTATGTATGTATGTATGTATGTATGTATGTATGTATGTATGTATGTATGTATGTATGTATGTATGTATGTATGTATGTATGTATGTATGTATGTATGTATGTATGTATGTAATGTATGTATGTATGTATGTATGTATGTATGTAATGTATGTATGTATGTATGTATGTATGTATGTAATGTATGTATGTATGTATGTATGTATGTATGTATGTATGTATGTATGTATGTATGTATGTATGTATGTATGTATGTATGTATGTATGTATGTATGTATGTATGTAATGTATGTATGTATGTATGTATGTATGTATGTATGTATGTATGTATGTATGTATGTATGTATGTATGTATGTATGTATGTATGTATGTATGTATGTAATGTATGTATGTATGTATGTATGTATGTATGTATGTATGTATGTATGTATGTATGTATGTATGTATGTATGTATGTATGTATGTATGTATGTATGTAATGTATGTATGTATGTATGTATGTATGTATGTATGTATGTATGTATGTATGTATGTATGTATGTATGTATGTATGTATGTAATGTATGTATGTATGTATGTATGTATGTATGTATGTATGTATGTATGTATGTATGTATGTATGTATGTATGTATGTATGTATGTATGTATGTATGTATGTATGTATGTATGTATGTATGTATGTATGTATGTATGTATGTATGTATGTATGTATGTATGTATGTATGTATGTATGTATGTATGTATGTATGTATGTATGTATGTATGTATGTATGTATGTATGTATGTATGTATGTATGTATGTATGTATGTATGTATGTATGTATGTATGTATGTATGTATGTATGTATGTATGTATGTATGTATGTATGTATGTATGTATGTATGTATGTATGTATGTATGTATGTATGTATGTATGTATGTAATGTATGTATGTATGTATGTATGTATGTATGTATGTATGTATGTATGTATGTATGTATGTATGTATGTATGTATGTATGTATGTATGTATGTATGTATGTATGTATGTATGTATGTATGTATGTATGTATGTATGTATGTATGTATGTATGTATGTATGTATGTATGTATGTATGTATGTATGTATGTATGTATGTAATGTATGTATGTATGTATGTATGTATGTATGTATGTATGTATGTATGTATGTATGTATGTATGTATGTATGTATGTATGTATGTATGTATGCATGTATGTATGTATGTATGTATGTATGTATGTATGTATGTATGTATGTATGTATGTATGTATGTATGTATGTATGTATGTATGTATGTATGTATGTATGTATGTATGTATGTATGTATGTATGTATGTATGTATGTATGTATGTATGTATGTATGTATGTATGTATGTATGTATGTATGTATGTATGTATGTATGTATGTATGTATGTATGTATGTATGTATGTATGTATGTATGTATGTATGTATGTATGTATGTATGTATGTATGTATGTATGTATGTATGTATGTATGTATGTATGTATGTATGTATGTATGTATGTATGTATGTATGTATGTATGTATGTATGTATGTATGTATGTATGTATGTATGTATGTATGTATGTATGTATGTATGTATGTATGTATGTATGTGTGTGTGTGTATGTATGTATGTATGTATGTATGTATGTATGTATGTATGTATGTATGTATGTATGTATGTATGTATGTATGTATGTATGTATGTATGTATGTATGTATGTATGTATGTATGTATGTATGTATGTATGTATGTATGTATGTATGTATGTATGTATGTATGTATGTATGTATGTATGTATGTATGTATGTATGTATGTATGTATGTATGTATGTATGTATGTATGTATGTATGTATGTATGTATGTATGTATGTATGTATGTATGTATGTATGTATGTATGTATGTATGTATGTATGTATGTATGTATGTATGTATGTATGTATGTATGTATGTATGTATGTATGTATGTATGTATGTATGTATGTATGTATGTATGTATGTATGTATGTATGTATGTATGTATGTATGTATGTATGTATGTATGTATGTATGTATGTATGTATGTATGTATGTATGTATGTACATATGCCCGGAGACTTCAACATCAATGGGGCCTGTCCTGCTTTCTGTCCACCTGCGTGTTTTTTTTGTTTTTCCCGGGGGCAGGGGGTTTTCGGTTGCCCAGGCCTGGCGGCACAGCCATCGAGGTCTTCTGCGTGTGCATCACTGTCTTGGCCCCTGGGATGCAATGAGCCGCGGCCATGAGGTTTGTGCGCGGCCTCCAATTCAAATGGCTGAGGGTCAAAACCAATGGGATCCCACTTTGGGGTAGGTGCACCACCCATTTTAGTCCATTTTAGTGGGGATTGGGATGTTCACTGGGGGTACGGGGTTTAGACCCATGGCCAAATGGGATTTGATGTGTAAGTGTCATTTCATTTGGTGGAAATTTGGTGAGTGTACCCAGCTTCAGGACGTGTCGACCCATGCTCCCCTTTACCATAGATGGCAATTATTGACCGCAGCTCATACACTGATTCAGAGCCGTGCGGCGGAAGCCCATGGCAGCCTTGTGACTCTTGGAAACTCGGAAACACCTCAATCCACGAGGCTTCTTGATGCACCAACTGATGCAACCATCGCAGCCTGATAGTGACGAGTGGGTAGTGACTATGATAGCCATTAAGGATGACCCTTGTGGCTTATCCATGGAGCCATGCGAAGCGCTTCGCCGTGCGGCGTGAAGCGAAAAAGAGTGGTGGAAGTAGACAATTCGAGCAGCTTACCACGAGGGCCGTTCGATGTATAATTCGAATGAGGTGGGTACGTCGAATTAGGTTCTGACAATTGAATAGCAATTGGTTTACCAGTGGTCCTTCAAGGGATGTTTTTGTTTGGCCCTGGAGTTCCAAATCAATTCGTCAGGGGATCAGAAGCCCTGCGACTTCCCGTGAAGCGCTTCTTCCGAGGAATTTTTGCTGCACATGGCCAGCGCCTTTTTGGAGCTGCAGTCCCAGGAGAAAGGGATGCCACTCATTGCCCCAATTTCCACTTTGGGTCAATAGGTCCCCCAGCTAGGTGCCCTTCTTAACCCCTTTTTTGGGGGAGGGTTCACCTACTACAGACAAAAGTTGCTACCCTTATTCTAACCTCTCTACTGGAGGACCGGTCCTCCCACCAATGAGCATGGAACCTGACAGGGGGTCACTTTTCAAGAAACATGGTCTTGCAGGACCCCCCTGTCAGGTTCCATGTTAATTGGTGGGAGGGTAAGATGGTGGTCTAAACAACATGGCTGTAGTTGTGGGGTCATGTAAAGCCACATTTTGTCATGATGAGAACATGATTCGTGTAAAAAGTCAATGGGTGTTGGTCGCTGCTGAATTGGATATAAATCACTTCCAAAATGGCGTGGGCATCCAAGTCGATCGCTCATACTTGAGGGTCAGTCAATCAGATTTGGCGAATATGGTGGGCCCACACGTTGACGACGTGTTCGGTGGGATTGAATTGGCTCCAGTTCAAAGTTGGGGATTGGTGCTGTTCAGCTTGTCGGAAGACTTTTTTTGGGTCCCCGGTTTCCTCCTTCCAAAAACAGACAAAGACCCTGAAACGAAGCCAACAGCGCTGGATTCAAGCGGGCTCTCCACCAGCCCTGTAACCCTTCGAAGAACAAATCGGCGAAGGTCCGCTCCGAAGCCGCCGGCTTGATGAATGGCCAGGAGCGGTTCTTCCCAGCGCTGGCGGTGGTCATAGGCGAGCGAGGGAGCAAAGGCTTTGGTCAGATGGGGAAGCCCAAAGCCTTTATGGCTCTGGGGCAAAACCCTGCAGCCCTGGTGATTTTTTGGCACACAAGGCATAGCATAGTTCCCTACACCTTCTTGAACCTAAAAATAGGTACATCCGCCCCAAAATGGGATTGGCATTGGTTATAACCCATGGCCTTTCTTTGTGGGTTTTTCTCTTGGTTTCCCGTCTGACCAAAGCCTTTGGGTGTCTTTTGTTGACGGTTTTCCTCTTGGTTTCCCTTTAGAACCATCAAAAAAAAGGGCACCCTCGAAAAAGTGTCATGTCCCTTCTTGGAAACTGTTTTCCGCCCGGATTTCCCGAAGCCTACAAATAGTGCAAAGGTTGTGGGCTCTAGTGGGAGGTCGAAAAGCTTGGGGCCCGAAAGCATGGCCCTCTCGCCCGTTTCTAATAAACTAAAAATGTGAGAAGCCGTTCTGCTTGGGTCGCTCAAAGGTGATTTCCCTTCAAGGCACCATTTGGAGGTAATTAATCTTGAGGATGCCATTTGAGGTGCCGGTTTTCTGCCCGTGCTACCAACGCCTGGGTTTGGGGGTCCCTTCAAGCCTGCGTTGTTCAAAAGTCCTTACTCCCGCGATTCTAGCCCTGATACCTGGAGTCAGCGTAAATCAAAATTGAATGCACGCAACCCGGTTGATTGTGGCCACTCTTGGATCAAGTGACCCTGGATGACTTGAAGACGAAGAATCCACGGGTCACTCAGTTCGGCTATGTTGGGTCCATGCTTAGTGGAATTCTCCGTGAAATGTATTCAACCCCAATTGAGGATACACTCTCAAGGCTACCTGACTAGACAATCTGTGTTGCCCGGGCAAGGTATAGCAAACCAATGACAGGGTTGCGGCGCGAGGATGCTCAAGCCGGATGTTGTTTTCTGGTACCAGGAGCAACTTCCCTTCTTAGACCTTCGAGCAACTTCCCTTAGCTGCAAGTGGAAAGCAAAGGCTTGCGGTCATACCCTTGGGCATCCAATGTGGTCTATTTCTCTACTTTGACCCATAAATCATCCCCTAGACACTCAAGTAGGCAGGTACTCTGATCCTTGGGGCTGTAGAATCCCACACTGCTACATCGGCATTTCCCACAGCCACGGAACCGCTGTTGATGCCATACTTCATTCGGCGTGTCTTGTTTAGGAAACCGCCAAATGGTTGGTGTCAATTCTGGTATCGTTGAAACCAACCTTAAAAAGGGTACCCACAAAGTGGACACACCCATTGTAAGCTTCACAACGTTCAGGTGGTTGCAAGAACCCCCGCAAAAAGCCACCCAAGGGCCACGTTTGGGTTGAATCCCCTTGCATGTTTGGGGATATGTGATTTTTAGCAACCCCTACGCGGGGCCCAAAAAAAAAGGCGTTCTTTTCTGTTTTTTTGTGGGGCGGGGACATCGACAACCCCTGAGGCGGGCATGCTCTTCGGGTTGTCCAGTGATGGCAACCAGAGTCTAAACATGGTATTAGGGCTGCAAACGCCAAGGCGTTCAAACAACGACTCCTAGGTGAACCTTGAATAGGGTTTGTTGGGCTGCTCTGTTTTTTTTTTCTCCATCAGGCCTTTGGGCAGATGCACCAAAGGCTAAAACAAAACATATCATATATATATATGTATCTATGTTATATGATATCTCACCTCTTATGTTCATGCCCAAGTGATCCCAAGTGTGGTTTTCAGACCAACCCCATTTGAAGCGTGGCCATGGTGGAGGCATAGGCCAAGTTTCGTATCGCCAGGCCCTTGCTTGCTGAATTCTGCCGGGGCCTGACATCGATCGATCGATCTGACCTGCCTAGGATAGAATGAACCCAGACCAGAGCCCCATGATCTTTCTTTTTGGAGGGGATTCCCTCTAAAATCAAGTAAAAGAGTGGCGCTGCTTTTCTTTCCGTGGGAGCTGGAAGTCTGGATGAATGAAAGGTTAAGCTTCCAACTTATTTTTAGGTTTGTTGGACGAGGGATAGCGCGAGACTACCTACCAATGAGTGGCCTCAAGGTCATAGAGTCATAGAGGGTGTCAAATTATCGATTGGAACTCGTATCAAATAGTTGGCGGGCCTAGCTCCCCGGGTAAATGATGTCCACCAAAGTTTCCATTGATTCAGAAGGCCATACGGCCATGGGTCAAAATCCCGTACCCCGCAGTGAACATCCCAATCCCCACTAAAATACACTGAAATGGGTGGTGCATCTATCCCAAAATGGCACCGTTGGGTTTGACCCACAGCCATATCCCAAACTGTTCTTCAACGTCCCCCAATGAGTGTCCAGGCTTCTTTGCCAACGCGCTCATCAGAAAAAGCAGGTGTCTCTTTTTCGGAGCTCGTACTTTACCCCCTTTTTGTGGCTTTCGAAGGGACACCAACAGGAAAACCACAAAAATTCGAGGGGTCACCTAAAAACAGCCACACGCGTCAAATGGCTGACACCCATTTCGGAGATTTGTCCATGCCGATCTAGGTGACCATTCTGCTCTTTGTGTCCTTCTTGGGCGAGACCTTTCACAGGCCGGAGTGTGCGACTTGGGCGCGTTGGGAGATGGGCGATTGGCTTGCTCGATGTGATTTATGTTTAAAACTATACGGCCTGATGCATACAGATGGAGAGATAGATCGATAGACAACTGGATAGATCGATCAATGGATAGGAAGGTAGATAGATAGATAGACAGATAGATAGATAGATAGATAGACAGCCTCATAATCATGATAGATTACACTAATACAATATATGTATGAATAATATGTATACATACATACATACATATATATATATATATGTGTTGGTGGAAAGAGAGATCTAGATATCTACCTATGCAGACGTACACATCATAGAATCACGCAATCATGTATGCACATGCGCACACCGACATGCACATACGTCGAGACGCATTGCGTTCAAACGGGTTTCGTTTGTGGCCCAAGGAAACATGTCGAGACACCCCTTTTGGAAGAGTTTGAAGGGATCAAGAGGACACAAGCCATTTGGAGGGATCCCCATATCAAGGCTCTTGGCTTCAGAGCTTTCATCCTTTTGAGGTACTTTGAACTTCTCTTGACTCCAAAACATCCCCAAGGATACCCTCCTGTCCGCTGACATGGAACCCACCAGAGGCTCCATTTCAAAGGAACATCGTCTTCCAGGATCCCTCAGTCAGGTTCCAAGGTAGCGGCAGGAAGGCTACTTTGATTTCTTTCAACCCCAAAAAACATCCCCAAATGGCCAAGTAGGCCCTGCCTTAAGGCTTGTCCCTTCCGAGTCGCCAGGTGGTTGCAGAGCAACTCGCGGCAGCGAGTGCTGATGCTGGCGGTGGTGAGGCCTGGTGGGAGGCTCAACCCCCCCCCTTGCGCTTGGCCCGCTCGCCCTGCCCACCATGGTTTTGGGAAGTCCAGATGGATGTTGGGTCTGTCTTGCAGGTGCTTAGCAGGGAATGAGGGAATGGAGCTGGGGATTCCCTCGACAGAAACCATAGGGGATGGCTTACAGGGTCATTCCCTTATTCCCTGCTGAGAACCAGCAAGCTGTGTTTCTTTTCCGCGGCTCGGTTCCCATTTCACCGCAGCTAAGAGCCTAGGTGGAAGCACCATTACAGCATCCTATGATTCAGTGACCACACCATCCCACCGGTTAAGATGCCTGATTAGACGAGGCCAACTAAGGCACTATACTTGGAAGACCGCCCCACTTAAGAAGTGGTAAATAGTCCTGCTCAACAATGCGCGCCACATATGTATATATATATATATATGTATAGCTACATGTCTACTCCACTCAGGACGCCATACAAAAGGGGCGGGGATGCAAGTGGCGAATTGGCATACCCTACCCTCAACCAAATAGGAAGCAACAAGCTGGGGTAGTTGGACCTTCCAAAGACCCAGTGTTGCGTTGGAAGCCTTCGGTCCCTTTAGAACATACCCAGGGGCTTCTAGTTTGGAAAGTTAGGGTTTAGGTTGACTCTTTTGTTGTTCCTGTTTTTCGGGGGGGGGGGGAGGGTGCGGGTGCTTCTGAGTCTTTGGGATTTAAGGGTCTTGCCGGGGCTTTGAGATCGCCTTGGGTCCTTCAAAGAAGCTCACAGAGACCCGGGTCGAACATCTTAAGTGAGAAAATGTGTCAATGGTGGCAACTGGAGCCGCTTCACGTTCTTTGCGTATTTTGTTATTTGTTTTGTCATTATTTGTTGGTACTGTTTATTGTTAATCGGGGGCTGCCAACAAAAAAAGTGTTTTGCCTTGCTACCATACCAAGATTTGGGAAGACACCAAAGAGGTCCTCTCTGTAGGTCACGATCATGGTCAGCAAACTAAGCCCAGTTACTCCAGTTGCCTCGCTTATATCCTACTTGTGTTTGCCTACGTGGGTTGCGCATCCAAGTAGTGTGTCAGCAACAATCAGGCCCACTGTTAAAGGGGAATCCCGTCCAGGAGGTTGTTTGAACCATCAAATCATTGCCAAAAGGGAAGCCAGCCATTTGTAGGGGTTTCTATTTTGAGAACCAGCATATATATATATATATATATGTATATATGCTTTAAAACCTACAATAGATATATAAACTCATAAAAGCCTGTCCTATACTTTACAACAGCTCAGGTGCCCCCTCCCCAACTTCCACCCGCCAATTGGCTCGCATCCATAGGCGTCCTTTTTAGGTTAGGTGCAAATTAGATGGCACTGGTTTAGCTGGGTTTGGTTCCATTTAGCAGGGGCCATCTATTTTGCCACCACCCAGTTCAGAACCTATCTTAGTGGGGATTGAATCGGATGTTCCCTGAAAGGCCACCCCCCTTGGCTCGCCAGGTGCGAGTGGCTGAGGGCCTTCGGCTTCCTGGCGCCGTTCCTGGCGTCGGCGCAGAGCCCCTGGCAGCGCCGGCGCTGCGAGGAGCTGAGCCGCGCCAAGGCGCGGCAGCTGCAGCGCGCGCCTCGGCGCGGCCCAGGTCAGCGGGAGGTCGGCGGCAGGTCGGCGGGAGGGCGGGTTGGGGATCTGAAACCGGTAGAACCCCCTGGTTGGGGGTGGGTGGGTGGTTTGTTTGTGTTTTTTTTTCTCCCCAGATAGCTGAAAGCTACAGGGGTTCTAACTTCTAATGAAGAGGGTAAAGTGATTGGCTGGTGTAGGTGCTGATTGGGGTGCTGTTTGAGGTGCTGATGGCAGTGCGGGCGCATCTTTTCAATATTTTTCAAGATTGACGCTAGGGTGCTAGGTGGCATGCAGTTTGGGGTGCTTGTGCAGGTGCTGTTTTGGGGGGTGACGAGAGTATTTTTGCATCTTGACGGTAGGACGCAGGGAGCAATGCAGTTTCGGGTGCTGAAGCTGATGGTGCTGTGGGACGCAGTTTGTGGGGAGCTGTTTGAGGTGCTGTTGACGGTGCGCTTTTTTGCAATATTGACGCTTGGGTGCTATCGGGCATGCAGGTGACGGTGCAGGCGCATGTTTGCATCTTGACGGTGGGGTGCAAGCGGGGCATGCAACTTAGGTGGTAGTTTGGGATTCTATTTGGGGTGCTGGTTGATTTTCGCAAGATTGACGGCTGGGTGTCTTGGGAGGTGCTGTTTGGGGTGCTCTTCAGGGTGATGGTGCGGGCGCATTTTTGCTCGATTGACGGCCGGGTTTTGCTTGGGGCGTTCTTTGGGGTGCCATTGTTTGAGTTGGTGTTTTGGATGATTTTTTGTCGAACCCTTGAAAAGATGGGTTGTTTTGGGGTGGTTTTGCGAAGTTTTGTTTGATTGTTCGCCCCTTAAGAATGAGTGGTTGATGGTTTTGTTTGATTTGTTTATGGATTTTTAGATTGTTCGTGGAGACAAACTAGTGTGGTGCCATTTGGGGTGGTTTTCAAAGGAACCAAAAAGAATCCAACCTGGAGGAGTCTCTGATGTTGAGAAACACCAAGGAAGACCATACTATAGGGGAGGGGCATGGATACGTAAATACTGCAGGCCACCCCGAAACCACCCACCCCAAAGAAGGTGGATACTGATATAAGTGTCCAAACTCAGCTTTTATTATTTGGCTTCCTGCTGGAACAACCCTCGTATTTAACAACGTGTGGCTTTCATCAGGGAGCCATGTCGGTAGGCGGACATGAATGAAATGATTTCCGCCAGACCCTCAATGGAAAGTAATTCTCCAATTCTCCATTTTCTGGTATCTCCATTTCCTGGTATCATATGGGAACCAACCTTGGACTCCACCTTCAGTGAGGGGGGGAGCCCAAATAATAAGGCCTTATTTCGTGCTTATATGGCAAATTTGGGCTCCCCTCCCTCCCAACTAACATAGCACCTCACGAGGGTCGCTTCAAGAGGAAATTCTCATCTTCCAGGTCCCGCAGGTGCTACGTTAGTGGGAGAGAGGGTAGGCTTCGTAGCGGCGCGAGTCGCCTGAGGAATGCGACGAGCTGAAGCTGGCGGTGCGTGCGGAGCGGCAGCGCTGCCGCAAGGAGCTGAAGGCGGGGCCTGGATGGGGAGACTGGACTGGCCGTTTTGGCATGCTGTGGATGGACGAAATCCTGCACCACCTAAGAAACCATGAAATGATGATTCCCCTGCAAACACCAACAAACAATCATGGCATCATGGTTTCCAAGATGTGCAGGATTTTGTCCATCCACAGTATGGCTACGATTTGTATCGGGGAACCCCTGAAAGGTGGTTGGTGGAAATAAATCCAAACCTAAATGATGCCCACCAAGGGGTCCCTAATGAAAGTCCATACCCATATGGAATACTTGCAAGCGAATGGACCAACCGGATCTAATCTTTGGGTTTCCACTTGGCCCATGCTTTTTATTTTGCCCGATCCTTTGGGCAAGGGCTTGTTGAGGTTTGAGGGGGGGTGGTTGGGACGGTTCCTGAAATGCTATCCCCAATTTGTGGCATCACTTGCTGCATTTGGGTGCTAACCATTAACTGGCTTTTTCATTTTGCCCAAAGGGAAACCAAAAAGTGTAACTTTCATCCTTCAGACTCCCCGGTTCAGGACCAAACAGTTTGTCTGGCCTGTCCAAACGGAATTTCCATGTCCGGGTCGACTAAATATTGAGCTTTTGGTTCACCCTGGGGTTGGGCTCCCCGTGTGCTTGTTCGAGTCATGAGTTCAGGTGATTTTAGGCCTTAGGATTCCGTTTGGGCAACCAAGAAACCAAAAAGATGGCAAAGGGTAACCTTGGCTTTCTTGAAGCGTTTCGAACAACCGGTTTTCGGCTTTTCCCTTCCTCAGGTGGGCGAATGGGGCTGTGTACTTCCTGCTTTTGTTTTTGGTTGGGGGGAGGCGGAACACCAATTTTTCACAAGAGGGGCTTTACATGGAACCAACAAACCGGTTTGTCTTTTTGGTTTTGCTTGGTAGCTGTTTTATAAACCTCGAGTGTGTTTTGATTGGTCGGGTTTTGTTTGGGTGAGTAGGCAATTGATCAAGTGGCAAGATAGGCCCCCTCAATGGTTGCTTCTTTACAGGCCAATATAGGTGTGTCTTGTTTTTCGAGGGTACCTTTTGGGGTCGGTTTTAAGGGAAACCAAGAGGACTGCCGCCATTTTGGGTTCCCCAATCAGAGACATGCGTCTCAAAATCGGGTCTCAAAATCGCGGACCTCACGAGAAAGGTTGATTTCCTTCTGGCCCAGCTGGCGGCTTCCTTTTCAAATCGACCCAGGAGCCATAAAGAAGACATACCCAGGTATGTCTCCATGATCCTATAGAAATGGTTGGTCATGACCCAAAATAAAGGGGTCATGGACCCATTTTTGATTCGGGTCATGGAGACTCCAGGTACCCAGATGGCCCTTGCCATTTCTGGGGGACCAAAAGGACATTTTTGCCATAGGAAATGCACGGCTTCCTATTCCCCCCCCCCCCATGCTATGGATGGACGAAACCCATTTCGCCCCCTTTCAGAAGCGGAATCATACGATTCATTTCCCAACGTAAACACCGTAACAAACGCTCTGGTTTCCCTTGGTTTTTTTGGAGGTCCTGAACGTATGAAACCTTTGCATGATTCACCTGTGCATACCCATAGTCAATGGTTTCCCATGTTTTCAATGTGCGAGAAGCGGACGGCTCTGTTCCACCACGGCCTCGCGGAGAAATCGCCGTTGCGGCGCAGGAGCGCCAAGAGCGCCAAGCGCGTCTCACGGAAAAGAGCGGTCCCGCTGCAGCGGCGCCGGTGGTCTCTGAGGCGGGGGGTGGTTTGAAGCTGAGATCCACCCATGGAACTACTCCCAAACCTCCGGTGGCCATGAGCGGTTTTCTGAGCTGCCAAGGATTGGACAGGTGGATCCCACGTGAATTCCTGTCCCGACTCTCCGCAGCGAGCGCTAAGGCACGGGACTTGGAGGACCTTCCGATGCCGGAAGTGCCCATCTTCTCGGAGCCCATGCACGGCATGGCGCCAGGCCGCCTCGACGGGGGTCTTTTTTTTGGGGGTGGTATGGAGGGGGAAGCCAGGATTCTCTCTGGAACATGTGGGGTTCTCCAAATTACTCTTGGGGGCGGTTTCCCTGCAAACCACCCTTGATGTCGGAAAGCGCAGGCTGGGACTTGTAGATTCTGTCCCCATAAGTCTGTTCAGGGCGGCACTCTCAAGGGACGCTGAAAAAGGAGTTTGGTGCCCTTGGGTTAGTTGGGTTACAACCCTCTTGGAAGAGAAGTGTAAAAAACCCCAGCCCAGGGGGTTGTGGAAATTGGAGGGGTGCTTGGGTTCAAGCTTGGACCGTTTCAAGTTTCTGCTCAGGTAGCGCACGCGTGTTGGATGGGTCTTTCCTGGCCAAGCAGGCTGATTGCCAGCTTATGGGCACGGGTCTTTGGGACGTGAAATTACAATATAAAACTTTCGCTCAACTTGGTTGTTTCGCCAGGTTGGTTGTTTGGTCGAAACGAGACTTAGCTGTGTATGTCATGGCTGATCATTGCAGATCATTGCAGATCATTGCAGATCATTGCAGATCTTCGGCGAGAAGAATTGCTGATCATTGCAGATCCGCCGCCTGCGTCCCTCACTGAGCTTTGCCTGATCGACAGCCAGGTCCATCCCGCAGTTGCGAGCACACCTGGAGCCCCTATGCATGCCTTAGCCAGCAACGCAATGAAGAAACTCTCATCCTGCGAAAACGGCCCATGGGATTTTGAATGGCCGGCAAAGTAAAGCCATGACATACACAGCTAAGTCTCGTTTCGACCAAACAACCAACCTGGCGAAACAACCAAGTTGAGCGAATGTATGTTCAATATTATTTTGTTGAAGATTGAACACTCATCACCATTCGGGATACACAATTGGGACAAGTATGAGCCGTGACAATGACAGGAACACTTATGGGGAAGGGTACGCAAGACAATTGAACTGTTTGGGGCAACAAGACGATCGAATGGGGCTCACTCCACTTAAAAGGTGTAGAACTGTAGAGCCAGCTACAGGTGAATCTCCAGCACACCTCCAAGGAATTTACGCCGGCCTCTTACCCACTTGCATTCTCCTCAAAGCGTGGATGAGTGTAGTTACCTGGACCCTCAAACTATCCCGAAAAAAGGGACTTCACCAACCACATTTTGGGGCAATACGCCATGTTTAAGTCGGAATTTTGAGGGTCCAGGTAGTCTCCCACCAATTAACATGGAACCTGACAGTCCTTTTAAAAGGAAAATGGTCCAAACCAGCACCATTTCCCCGAAAGTCGAACGGTTCCATGTGAAGAGGGGAGGGTAGGGTCGGGACTTAGCTGATATGCGGATCTCTGGCGGTCGCATTTCGTCGCAGGGGACGCTTCCGGCGAAGGCTTCGGCGCCATACAGCCACAGGAGCTGCGGATAGGATCCATTTTTCTGGAAAGCCCGAGAGGTGATTTGCATAGGTGTCCTTTTTGGTTGTTTTGGTAGAAAATAGATGGCCCTGGCGTACCTGGTCGTTTAATCATCTACCAGGGCCATCTATTTCCCCTAAAAGGGCAACTGTAGAACAGGGGATACCCTCAACAATGAGACTCTTCCCCCCGCAGGTTCCCGCACTGTGGGTACTATTCAATGTACAACAGACTCGGCAATGGGGTGGGGATGTGGATCCTTAGCCCCGCTACATGGTCCAAACCGGGGCAATGGTATTTGCTTGGTAGAACGAGCTCACCACGATTCAGTAAAACTAGGAGCAGTCTCTCGTTTGGCACCGAGAGCCATCTCGCCCTGAGAGGACCCTCAGATGCAGAGGCCGGGAAGTTGCGCTTGCATGTTAGAAGAGCTGCTGACGAAACTGCTGGTAGTGATCTGTGGTCAGTTTGAGGCACAGGGTTTTACGGCAATGCGAAACTAAGGAAGTCCTAAAGTACTAAACTAGTCATGGCAATCAACTGATTTCTCACAGAAAGGGTCGTTTTCACAGCGGTCTGGGAAGGGCATCACTCAGATTTCATGGGTCCCGCTCCCCGCGCCCCGCGCATTTTTTGGTGCTTGCCATGAAGGTTTAGAGCTGCAGGCTTGGACTCCGAAATCCGCATGTACCCCGCTCAACGTGCGTATCGCATATGAGAAATGACCAATGCATAGCCTTATATTGGGATTGCCTTATATAGCTGTTGAGACCCGATGGGGTATGGTTTCCCGGTGACTCTTATTTAATTCGAGTACCACCCTAGGGTACACCCAGGGTATGACAACAGGCCTGAATACAAGGGTTTTGACCAATACTATATAGGCCAGTTTAGTAGATTGACGTATTCGGGCGGGGCAGGCCCCTATCGATTTCTTGCACATATGATTGACAGACTTTATTTACCGGAAATTGCAGCAAAGGCCGCACGTTGTTGGGTAGCATACTGAATTCGGTGCAAAACAAAGTAGGAACACAACCAAAGCAGGGTACGCCGTGACATACAGGTGGTTGAGATCACAAACACGCAGAGTTGGAAAACGAGGTCAATGAGTCCGAACGAGTGCAGGGTTGGAACACCCGACCATTCAACCAAACTGCGGCAGCTCATATATTGTCAGAGTCTCATGTGTGTTCATCCACGCAGTGGGCAGGTAATATTTGCTTTCACTGCCCACAACCGCTGCAAAGTTATCAAGCTGAAGGGTATGCATTGCCTACGTGGAGCCTCAGGGTATGTTGCTGAGGGCTTTAGCAAAACAAGGCCATGGCCCACGACCGGCGGAGTGTTTCCCATTTGCAAAGGGACCGAGGCTGGCGCCCTGCTCCCCCCCCCCTCACTTCCCAAGTTTCTGAACTGGAGATTGCCAGGTTTGCCTTTCGGGGAGAGACCAGTTTAGTGCAATAGGGATGCCTCCAAGTCCGCTTGTTGGAATTTGAACAGTTGGCAATTTCAGTGGAAACCACCGGTCAAATCAATTAAGTGTAACCTGACGTGGGGCCCGTGGGTGGTACTTGTAGCTGGTTGAAAGCGAGCAGGGGGAATCCAGTGACTCCTGCTAACCGAAAGTGGATTCACTTTCGCGGCGGTTCTTCTCCCAGCCAGGCTTGCGACCGCGCCTGTGCGAGGAGCGTTGCACGGGCGCCGGGCGTCGCCTCTTCTGGTTGAGTCCCTGGCTTTGGCACCGCATCGCCCCGTGGAAAGCATGTGGCGGGTGTCTCTTCAACACCGTAAAACACAGGGTTTTGTAGCATGTTTCATGTTAAAAGCGCATCCCCACCAACACCCGGTCTCTTTTTTTGAGGGTACTATGTGTACCTTGGTTCAAAGAGAAGCCAAAGGGACACTATTTTGTGGGGTACCCCTACTTTGAGTGGCATGATTGGCAGTCTACTGTTGGCTTGTGGAGGATGAACCCAACAGGGGTCCATGTCCTTTTGGGGAAACGAGTAATTTAGTGTGCGGCTCGTGCAAGTCCCCTGAATTTCATGAAGGACGGTCGAAAAGAAGCCCGGTTCCAAGTCCACCAAATGAGCGGTCGAATATGTGGGTTTCATCGACATGCCTATTGAGGGAGTTTTGGGTCAAGGGCGTCATGAAGCCTCAAGGTCCCAAGAGCCAAAGGGCAAACAAAAAGCAGGCGCTTGAGAAGGTTTCAGGTCCCCTCACCCCGGGCATTCAGAGACAAAAGGTCTTTGGATCCCCAGCAGGCGGATCCGCCGGAGGTTTGATTGCGCAAAAGACCAGCTCATCCTTGGAGTGCACTAAATTGGCTTCCGAACGGTCAGCCAAAAACCAGTTTTGAACATTTGCAAGTTGGCTTGCGGGTTTTTTGCGGTTCAGACTTTGAACCTCAGTGCGTTTGATATTTTTGTCCACGACCCCTGACCCCTGAGAGGTGGTCATTGGTCCCATGGTTAGGGAGCCCAATACCTCTGGGCGGTAAAATATTGTTCCGGCTCAAGCCAGCCCACTGGACGGGTTGCCGAGACTCATAGGGCATGTCAAACTTGTTGCTACTTGGAGCCCCAGACTGGTGATGCCCCTAGCTGTTTCCAGGGGCTTACTTCCAGTTCTGCCCCTGTTTCCCTTTCTGCTGGGGGGGGGGGGTTTCCCTTCAAAAGCAGACGGGAAAGCACATGGTTTTTCCCACTGGGGAAAGGTTTGGGGTCAAAATGGGTGCCTTCGACGGGGGTGTCCCAACCAAAAGTTTTTGGGCCCCTATTTTGAGCTCCTCTTCCCTGGAGGAAACCAAACGGCTCTGCGGAACCGGCAGTGGGATGACTGGCTGAGGCGGGATTTTGGGAACTTTCGCATAGCAACGAGAACTTGGATGACCACCCCATTTGATATACGTGGTGAATATCCCTTGGCTAGAACCTATTTGGTATACAAGTGGGTATTTTCCCTGTTTATAGGATCCCCTAGGTGGATGAGTGGTAGTATCCCTTGTTTGTAAGTCACCTTTGTGGAATCTGTAGAGTACCCCACTTAGAGGACTTACCAGCAGGGTGGTCATGTTTGGGTGCTTCCTGCTTTGGTGTGTTTTTTGACCTCCTTTGTTTGAGGGGTTCTGTTTGTTCCTAGAACCCTCCAACATGAGCATAAGCCAGGCCACTGCCATCCGGAGTCTCGATTTCCCCCTGTATAAAAAAGAAACATGCAAACATGAGGGCTCCCAGATTGGATGTTCAGTTTGGGGCTGGAAGCAGCTGGGCCAAGTTGTGGGCTTTGACAGTTGACAGGCACAGTAAACAAGGCCTGAGATGTTGTCTTGTTTTGCAGGGCTCCGAGAATCCAATCAATTTCCAACAGGACATTTGGGCCCACAACCCTGGGTCCAAAGAATGTGTTGTGGGCTAAGCCAACCGGGCTGTGAAACCCTGAGAACGCACTTTGCCACGGATGTCTATCCGGGCGCGCCATTTTTTGAACATCCGGTGGATGAAGATTGTTGAAAGGGGCAGCCGATTCGTGGTAGTCCGAAAATGGCACTCCATGGAACGCAGTCTCAAAATGGGGGTACTCCGAAAACGGTGGTGGGTATCCTTGTGATGTCCCTTTAAAGCCCACCAAGAGGTTCCCCAGCAAAACGACAAACCCGGTTTTCCCTAGTGGCGAAACACCAAGGGTTGCCCGCGGTAAACAACCAGGGTGTCTTAGCAGGTTATGGCGTGGATGCTTCCTCCCGAAACGCCTGGCATTGGGCATATTGGTGTGTTTGTGTGTGTGTGTTTTCCTATTTTTGGGGACTCCCAACAAGTTTTGGTGGCGTTCTTGGCTTCCCCGCAACTCATGGGGGAGCCTCGAAAAGACGAGCCGCCCCTTGGGCGTTCCACGCAGGGACCAGAAGAAGCAGGAGGCGCGGATGGACTTGGAGCCATCCGAAGGCGCACGCCGGATGGCCCACCGGAGGAAGCGGCTGGTGTTCGACATGGGGTGCTTCTCAAAGGGGTCCCCTTGTTCGCACAAGGGGAAGCCAACAGGAAACCAACCTGAAGGGGTCACCACCCCCCACCCCGGCTTGGACCACCCTCCCGCTCCGAATATCCTCTTTCTCTCGAGCATGATGTCAACTCATGATTAAACAACTACAGCGTTTGTTTGCTCCGGAAAACCTGGTTCTCGAAATATACCCAAGAACAAGCTGGGATATTTGGAGATTGCGCGGCCAGCAGGAGAAAAAAAGGCTTTCATGGATGAACCCCCTTAAAGGATGGCTCGTGAAGGTGGGTGTTGTTTTTTGAGGGCAGTTTCTGGGGTTGTCAGAAGTCAGAAGCAAAACTCAAAGGACAATCGCCCGTTTTGGAGGCTCCCTAAGTTTAAGAAACACTCACATTGTTATTAGTCTCAAAATGTATTGTCTTGGATTAGGCGACCCCCCTGAAAAAGAGACACCCAAATAGGGATCGGTCCCCTGTCTGGATAAGGGGAAACCAAAAGGAAACTAGCGGCTCCTACATTTGAGAAACACCCATCATTCGCTCCTCTCGTAAAGTCCTCTCGAAGGTGAATTTGCTTTTGTAGCTGCTCTTGAACTTCCTGCCTCAAATCCTGGGCGTTAGGCAAGTACCATTTTTGCAAGCAAAGACGATGGACTTTTCAGGCCACTCAAAAAGCCAGCAATGGGTATCATTGAACTGCATTTTGAAAAGCAAAGCCCTGAGGGTCCAATTGAGTTGTGTGCGGCGACCAAAGTAGGACGCCCCCTGTTGAGACGGCAAGTTGTGAAAATGGACATGTGTTTTTTTGTTTTAACGCACCAGAACCCGGGATGCCAATTAAACGGTGAGTGTCGGGTGAAAAAGGGGTCCAGTGTTGTCTACCCGAAAGGTATAAGAGGGGCAAATGAGCGGTGGGGATTTTTCTCGGGAGATCTCAACAGTAAAAGAAGGAGATGTCCAAGATTCCTGGTTACTGGGGTCTCAGAAAGAGTTTTAATGAAATTCATATGCTGAGGTTGAGACTCAAGTATGGTTGCCCTAATCTGATTATATTTTGGGTGTCCCCTGAACTTGGCAAGGTTCAACTGTTTTGTTTAACCGTTTGGAGTTTGCGAGTGTGTCATGCGCACAAAACGAATTGGGCTTTTGACCTCTCGGAAAAATAAAGGGCGGTTGCCCTACCAGAGAGCCACCCATTTTTGTTGGACGAGCTCACCGATCCGGGGGCAAAAAAAGAGCTCACAGCTCCTCGGCTGGGGATTTCTCCTTTCAGGGTTTGGAAGTACCTGGAGTCTCCTTCTGAGAAACGGGTCCATGACCCCTTTGTTTTTGGTAATGACCCCATTTTTTAAAGGGTCACAGAGACTCCAGGAATACTCAAACTTGCAGAACAATGCACACGCACTAGAGGAAGTTCGGTTTGGCAAGCCCAAGACCTGGCTCAAGACGGCGACTCGCTTGTATGCCCATTTGGGGGCTGCAGAGTAGACATGGATGTCCCAGACCTGCGGTGGTGTCCTTTTCCTGCTTTTGTTGAGTTGCAGGGGGGATTTTCTTTGAGAGATCAGCTGCCCCAAACCGGTGCGCCGCTTTGTTTTTCCACTGGCCGCAGTGCTGTGAAATGTGGAGCTTGATGTCGGGAAAAGTGAGATGGAACCCCCAGGTGATGTGATTCAGGTGAATGTTGGGTTCCAGATCAGTGGGTCAACATGGCTGGCCTTTGGTCCAAGGACCTTCTGCTCGTTCGGGCTGCGTTTGTCGCAACCCACTGTTTGATGAATTCCGTGGTTCCTATTGCCTTTGGTTTGCGTCCATTGCACAAACCTTCCAGTGGCAAAATCAGTGGGTCAATTTACCTGCATGGTCTGTATAGCAGATAACTGAAGGGTTTTCGCTTTTGGGCGTCGCAAAGCCGCCAGGCGGGCGGAAGTCCGATCTGCGCGGAGGCCGGGGCAAGCGCAAGCTCGATCAACTCCGAGACCAGGAGCCCAAGGAAGCTGGAAGATGTGATCTCCGATCCCAAACCGAATTTGTTTTGAAGCAGGCGAAATATGAAACTTAATCGGAAAGTCGTATTTTAAGTCTGTTTGCCCCCAAATGTGGCCAAGCAATCGTTGCGACGTGGTTCATTTTGGAGCTGTCATGCTGAAAGGGGACATATAGCGGAACTACCTGACAAACGGTGGATGGACGAAATCCAGTTCACACCACCTAAGAAACCCAACGGAATGAATGGATCCCCCGTAAATGCCAACAAACTATGGCTCCCCACGGTTTCATTTCGTGGTGCGAAATGGACTGTGTCCATCCACAGTATGTCCAGCTCTTGGCGTGTTTTTTTCTTTGAATACGGATAACTGGGCGAAGAAAGAAGTGTTTCACCTGACTTGCCAGGCGTCGCCAAGAAATGTGTCCTGAATTTGGTGACCTCCAGCGGGAAACCAAACAAAGTCCCCCCCCATTTTAGGCAGCGTCCAAATGTTTGTGATGAAACTCTTGGCAAGGGGTCGGCTGAAAACTCTGGAGATTTGCGAATATAATTGTTGCTGGCTTTAAAGGCAACAAAACAGGGCTTGTAAACGCCCAGATACCAACCAGCCCCCATCAAAAAACTTAATGGTTCGGGCTTGCAAAGCCACTAAGTCTTTTGTCAGCGCTTGAAGCTCAGACAGAAAGGAAAGCACACCACATGCGGATGTCTCAAACCCTTACAAACAAAAAGCACCCAATCCGCCTTGCAAAGCCGGATGGTTCGAGGAAAACACTCTGTCCACGGAAGTAAGGGGCATAGAGATTCCGACCCGTCGGAGAAATCTTGTGATCCTACGGGCCCTGAAACCCTGAAACCGATGGGTAGCGAGCCAAGAGCGCTTGCCAAGACTAGGGGCCAAGCGGTGCCCATCCCCTGTGTTTTTCAAGGATCCTGGCAACAGGGTTGAAACAAAAACACTGGGTTGAAACCAAACCGCGAATTCAACCAGAGGACCCAATGTGTATTTCAAGCCTCTTCTTCTTCTTCTTCTCATTTGTCCCGTTGGATTTCACGTTGATCAGCCAAAGGCCTGCTTATTGAGGGTTATAGAAGATTAAGGTGCCTAATTCCTCCAGCGTCTGGCGTCAGGTGTCGGCCAGGCGGGAGGAATTGGGGGGGACGCGGCGAAGCAGGGAGAGTGAAGCAGGTGGCCTCCAGAGGTTTGGTACCTCAAAAGTCCCCTTTGAGGGTTCCAAGATTCATCTTAGGTTATTCAAAAGATTCTCAGGTTGTTCAAGTTTTTGCATTTTTTGCGGTCAGAACAAGGGGGGGTCTCTGGGGCGAGGTTATTGCGAAGGATGAGATGGCTTGTTTTCCCCTGGATCCTCCTCGTTGTGCCGCTCTTTAAGCTCTCTTTTGTGTGGAGTCAACAGGGGGAGGGGGGAGCAACCAGCGCTCTAGGCAGATTGCGGCTGGCGAATCGGTCATGTTTGTGTCCCATTCGGCCAAAGGATATGGTCATCACCATGATTGTTTGTTCCTGGCGTGGATTTCATGAGGAGAAGAGCGTGAATCTATGTTGTTTATCCATTGCGGGTTGGTCCACATAGTTCCATTTGTTGGGGAAAGGGGTTGTGGGGGGGGTGCGGTATATCCAAGTTTTGGCCATGATCTTAGGATAATAATGTGAAATTACTTTGCCCCTTATATGGGCATGTCCTTTTTTGGGGGACCCGGTCGGTGAATTTCCTGTCCTGTAAAAACACGACAAGGGGGACCAACTCCAAAAGACGCACACCCACATGTAGGATCAATTTCCCTTAGTTCACTCGGTAGCCTTCCATTTGCTTGAGTCCTCTGGTAAAAACACACCACCCATATTGTATATTTATTTCCTCCGTTGGTGGGAATGAACCGGAAGGGGGATTCCCGAGGAAAAAAAACATAGGGATTCCCTTGGAAAGCAAAGCGTGGATGGCTCGGTCGTTCCCTGCCTCATTCCCTGCCTCGGTTTCGAGCCAGCAAGTTTTTCGTGCAGGTCTATGGTGTGCTTCCGGAAGCCAAAGGCACGAGCTTTGTCCCGCGGGCGTCCAGAGGGTTTTTTTTCTTTTCCCGTTTCCTTCCGCAAAGCGGCGGAGGGGGGGGGGGGGAAAAAGGGGGGTTCGAAGATCGCCCTGGGTCAAATTTGCGCATCCCGGAAAGTCCCGAGATGTCCCTGGTATCGCTCCTGCCTTTTTCTGGGGGTAGTGTTTTGGGGTACTGGGGTTTGGGATGTCGTGAAGGTTTCTTTCATAGGAATCCCTTGTTTTCGAGTGTTGAATTCTGATTACCTGCCCAGATGTTTGTTTGGAGTACCTAATTGTGGGCGATGCTCACTCAAGACTGTATGCAGCTATGCCTAGGAGAGACAATGGACCACATTTGCAAATTGTTTGGTTGATTGCCCCCGTGTTTTGTGTGAGCAATCGTTGAAGTCATTGGAGGGAAGACATTAGCCGTGATCAAATCACTTGGTTGCTTGAGGCTGGTGGGGCTTTCCGAGCTTCTCTTAAGGAAGCCATGACCCACATTGGGACTGTAAGGAGAAACACTGGGGCGCCCTAGAACGGTTGTCATCTCCTTCTTACCCTTCCTGAAAGCTCTGGCACATGGGTAAGCGTGGTGGATTTCTCTTGGACGGGCAACCGCAAGCGATGGCACAGGGACCCCTTCGGACAGAGAGTTTTGACCATGGCAAATTCATGGATACGATAGATATTTATGTTGTGGTTTCTAAGGTACCAGATACCGTTTTAGAGCTTTTGAACATTTTTGAACTGCAAGCGGGTGGATCTGTTTGGTTTCGGCATGCCAAAAAAACAACCCAGGCCTTGTTTCGGGCGCATGAGGGATGGAAAGGGCTGGGCAATATCCTATGCCAACAGCCCAACAAATTATGGGCCTCACTGGGGCCTAGCTCCCCCAAAATTGGCCGAATGATCAATAGGATGTATGTTAAGGCCCTTGTGCTGGGGTGGCCTCATAGTGCAAAAAAATGGGCCGAAGGCTGAACGTGTCGCTGCTGTTGGGTTTTCGACCCTTAGAGGGCTGTTGGCAAGCATGGCTCCCAAATTTGTTTGCCTGCGCGGGCTCTTGCCCTCTGAACAAGTTCTGCTGGGTGCATGTGTTAGGTGGCAGGTATTGATCGTCAAGTTTTCAAAGAGGTCTGCCGAAGTGGATGGCAAAGTCGGCGCCTGGTCTCAAGATCAGGAGCTTCTTTTGTGGGTGGGTTTTGAGGGGAAAGCAGGTGGAAACTAGACACGTAGGAAGCACCCATCTGGGCCTCACAAAGGTTGCGTTTGCAACCTTACCCGTGCTGAAAGGTCCTTGGGAGCGTCTTGTGTCAGGTTGACTTAAGCAATATAATACACCCCTTGACTAATAGCAATGTTACGACAGCAACACCGAATTCCAGATTCCAAGAAACCAGCTAGAGAAAATTCGAGAGGAAGTCCTTACAACCCCGGATCAAGCATATTCATATCCCCCCCAACAAGGGTAGGCTGATTTTACAATTTCTTCAGGGTAGTTTGAGTTACGTAGTCCATAATGGGGGGGTGGTTCAAAGGGATGGGGGGCGCTTCTGAGGCTCCCTAAAGAACCCTATGCCAGAACTCTTAACTACCACTTAGGGATTCCAGAATTGAGGGCACCCCACGTGAAACGCCCTCGATGGCGCATGTTCAGGCGAACGCGTGGACCCGGCCAAGCTGCCCCACGGGTGTCTTCTCTGCGGCATCGCACCGCAGAGCGCGGAACAGGACGCTCACCTAGACCTCCAGTGGAGAACTTCCTTGTGACATTTGGTTGGGAGGGGTTCCTTTTGAAATTAGCCATCCAAAAAGGGGTGACCTTTTTTCCCAGTGGCCACTGGGGAATGGGGGAAGCATGCTATATTTTGAGGTTGACTGAATGCGAAGCATTGCATTGATTTGATGGGTCCCTTTTGGTTTTGAGGCCGAGTAAGTGAGTGTAGAGTTGTTTTTTGGGAAATGCAGATTTCAAGCCGCAAGGTTCCATTTAGGGAAATCAAGGGCCTGGGGTCATAGTAATTGGGCAGTTGGAACGTGGTACATAGGAAGCATCGTGCACACCGCAAACTCTCCCACAGGGTTGCGGAAACTGGGGAGGGGTTGGTTGCCACGTTTCTGAACTCCCTTTATAACCCTTCCGTGCAGTGCTTGGTCATGGTGATGTGAAACTTGTATTCAGGGTGCAATAGCCACCAACTACTGGTGAAGTTACTTGCTTTATAGTTGGAACATGAATTTGTCTCCCCCAAAATGTTTGGTGTCCATGCGGTTCCCTTCCAAACAACCCAAAAGAGTGTACCCTCAAAATCCGACGCACCAACATGGGAACGAACCAACCAATTCTGCACCATGGCTGGAGATTCTTGGACTTCCGCTCGCCCGAGCGCCCGACAGTGACAGGAGAGCGTGTCGCAGTTCAAGAAAGTGCTGTGTGAGGGCCCCAGGACCCCAGCGACGGGGCTGAGTGGCACATTGGCCTTTGGCTTTGCTCGGGAGGCAATGTGCCGCTACACCCCTGGGCAAAACATGGAACCCAGGAAGAGGGTCTGCAACAAGGAGGGTTCATCTAGAAATGAGGGTTTTGGGTGTTCATGTTAATCTGTGCCGGGTGGCTTGCTAGCCAACAAGCAGATATGCAGATCATAGGTTATTCGGCACCGGCCAATGGTGGGGCTCCCCTTTAGTTTCAGGAACGCCAACACATGATGTCTTCTTGCGTGGCTGGGCTAGTGTGCTACACAAACTGATGTAACCTGTTGGATTTCAGTTGGGGCCTACGTTTGGTCATGCGAAAGGCGAGCTTTTAATGTCCAGGTGGTTGTGTTTCCCAATGATGAATGTCAGGCGCAAGGCGACAGCACATACAATCCCATAAGGCCAACTAAGGTATTTTAAGCTTTGGGGTGGGGGGCTCCAGATATGAACATAACACACCCATAGTCAACGTCTTGACAGTTTGTTTCTTCACCTTGAGCAAACAATTTGTGTTTTGAAGGCAGGGCATTCTAAAAAACTGAGGTTTTCTTCTTGAAACCCAAACCAAATGGTCGTTTTCCTACCCGAAGTTTGCCTGAAAGTGGGGCAACATTGACTCACTTCCCGAGTTCCTGGACTTTGGTCACGATCGGAAGTCTTCGAATTCAGGTCCCCAACAAAAGAACGGGGTCGATGTCTCGCTGCTCGACCAGGCCTTGCCACGCTGGCCTCCGCGCTCTATGCGGACCTGCCCAAGGCGGAGCTTCGGAACGCCACGTCGCAAGCCCGTTGACTTCGTCCCCCCGGCCCACAGCTAACCGTTGGCAGCCTCAGCCTTGGACTCAAGTTTCCAGTAGCTGACATGCAGATGGGACGTCCATCTGAAGTGAATATTACGCTATATCTGTTTCCCTGCTTTTAAAGGAGCTTGGCATTTGACTCAAGTTTCAAGCTGAATGAATACGGTGTATGTTTGCCCTTTGTTGGTTTCAAAGGGAATCTGTCACTAGACAGAATCCGTTCCCCCATTAATGAATGACCCCAATTAATAAAGAAATCGAAATCCGGGGCCCGGGACCAGATTTCCACTCCGCACAATTGATTTTTTAATTGAGCCAATACTAAACCCTTACTAAAGTCTTGGAATCCTTATTAGGGGGCACTTTTAACAAGCTTCCAGCCCTACTTTTAAAAAGGTGGGTTCCCCAAAAGGTTGTTTCCCCAAAAGGTGGGTTTCCCAAAAGCTGTCTAGCTTCGACTGTCTCTCTCCCGTACATGCTGGCTAATTAATTACCTAACCTGCCTGGCTGCAAACAAATAACCAGTAAACTGAAAAACAAATATACTGATACATAAACATTTCCATATTGAACCGCTGACTCGCGGACCTTACAATTCAATCCATTTCCTCCAAATCCTATGTGAATCTTCACATTGTTAAAAAAAAACCCAAAAGCACCCAACCCCAAAAACCCCAATTAAAAAAATAATAATAATATATTGTCGGGAGGATTATTTTGTTATGATGGGGGGGGGCGTATTTATTAATAGGAGGGTGAGATTAGTCTTGTATTTTTACAGAGGATGAACAATGCGGATGGAGGGTTAGTTACATGTGGCAAAGCTTGAGCCAGTTTCTATAAAGCAAAAGTTCTGCCAATATGACCCCCCTTCCCCGCCCCCCACCCCGTTCCCCCACCGGGATCGCCAAAAACATGCAAGTCGGGTCTTCGGAGCCCTTGGGTTCACAGGCCCGTTCTGACGTGCCCGGATCGAATCATCCTTTGTGCCTTTTGCTTCGCTCACTTCCACTTCCATTTTGTGTCAAGGTCCGAAAAGTTGATGCACCTTTGTCCAGGTCCTCTGGCAAGTGAGCAAAGGTGTCGACAACCAAAAGTGAAGGATGAGACCAACCCAGGCTCTAAAGAGCATCATTTGTTGCGGAGCAAACAGGAGTCACACGTCACTGTGATGGTAAACACTTCAAGCTACTCAACATGATTGATACACATCTGACATTGCGATGATATTGCGATGGAGCATGCTTGCAAGCCATATACAGAGTGAACCAAGCCTAGAGTCTCTTGGACCTGGATTAGGGCCAGAGCTGACAACATCCCGTCTACGGAGACCACCCAAGGTACAGTCCATAGCTACACCAACATGAAATTTAACAGACAAGCGCAAACAACCAAAGAGGTACATCCAATCGAGGAACCTACCCCCTGACTCCAAACACCTGTTCTTTTGCACGAAATGAGCCCTTTTTCAGACACGATACATATACCAAGAGCAAACTTACGATAGTTCCAAAGCAGACCAACTCCCCCCCTTCCCCCCGAGGGTCAAGAAGCCTTTTCGAGCTAAACTACGCTGCCAACTTGGGGCCAAGTAAGTTTCCTCACTGGTGGGACAGTCTTTGGGGGGTTGTTCGTTTTCTGAAAGTAGCACCAGTAGCCAGTAGCCCAGTTCTTCCAACTCTCCCTTTCAATATCACCGTAGGAAACCGCAATCTTGGATGACCGCCACATGTAGTAAGTGTTTAAACTCCCACTTAAGTTCTCCAAATATGAAGGATACACCTTATACTTATTTTCTGCTGATATTGAACACTTACAAAGGTAGTCATCCAAGATAGGAAGCCATAGAGGTAAACTTAGGCTTTCCCCTTCAAATCACAGCTTTTGAACTCTTGGCGGAAGGCGGGTCCCTGAAACGGTTTGCTTCCTCTTGGCTTCCTTTGGAATACCACCCAAACGGGGTCCGCCTTTCCTGGACCCCCGACCAACCCCGACCTCAGGTGGTGGTAGCTGCCTGGCTTCTGAGCTCCGACTCTCGCACGGAGTCCCTGGTGCTGCGCAGTGCCATCCTGACCATCTCTGGCTTGCACCTTGGGAGCAGGCGACAACTGCCGTATGGGTGGCTCGTCGTTTTTTCTTGGAGTTGGTACCCCTTTTTTGGTGGTTTTAAAGGGAACAACCACTCACTCCCTGAGTTACTGGACTTAGTTGTTTGGGGTTGGACCATTTTCACAAACAACAAGTTCGGACTTGTTTTTGGCCAGCCGCTCAGTCAGTGACATGGGGCTGGACTTTTTCCGGATACATGTTTTGTGGTTTGTTTGAAAGTAAACCACAGGGAACCCACATTGAGGGGGATCGAATAGGAGCCCACGAATGGGTTTTTCCTGTTGGTTTCCCTTTAAACCAACCCCGAACAAGGTACCTCAACAGAAACAATTGCCCAGAGGTGCTCCCTGATTGAAAGGGAAACCAAAGGGAGCCACCCATTTTGGAGGTTCCGAGTCGTATTTTGAGACACACCCATCCAGGGTTGTGGGCCCAATTTCTAAGTTTCCTTCTTGGTTTTGCTTTTCTCGCCCAGATTCCAATTCTAAGACCCAGGGTCGAGACCCTGAAAATCGCGACTGGGCGAACGGAACCCCCAGAGTTGGGCTGGGTGAACTTCTGGGTTAAAGTCTCAGACTCTCTACTCTGCAAATGGCCACAGGCTTAACTGAGCTTTCCTGCGTGCCTTGGCTTAGTTTGTCTTACCCAGTGGCCCAGTGAGTCCCAATCACCACTACAGTAGGTTGTGGAAAGGAGGTTCCCCCTCGAAGGTGCGTGCGCCTGACCAAGTGCGCAGAGTGAAAGACGGGAAACATCACCGTCAGCCCCTACTAAAGGCCACCAACTAGGGGCTCCTCCCACGTGTTTGTAGTTTACCTTGTCTTGTTCTTTGTCTAATTTCACCCTGAGCCATCTAACCATGTTTTTTGTTCCAAAACGATGGCTTGCCCATGATCAACCGGATTCCAAAGTCCTCTGAGAGACCCAACACGGAAGGAGTCACTGAAAGGGGCTCGAGATCTGAGCTCCCGTCAGATTTCTAGCTGTACTTCCTTGGTTGCTCTTTGGTTTGACTGAGATACTAAGATACTACAAGACCCTAAATCATGACAATGGGTTGTGGGGTATTTTAGGTACGTTAGAACCCAATGTAGTCATGATCATATGACTATATTAGTAGTAATTCTGTAGCCCTTTATGTTGCTTGGCGGCCAGGACATCGCTTCTCAACATCCCAAGGGTCCAATGGATAGATTTTGGTGCAACATGAGCCCTCGAATGCAGCCCCAATGCCGCAAGCCGGAGTATGGCTTTGGGTCCAGCTGGTTCTGATCGCACCATCGGAATCTCTGCCTCCTTTCAGTTTGAACGTGACCTGGGCGCATGTTACCTGAGCTAAGGTTGAGTGGAGTGGTCTTTGAAGGCGAAGACATGCATCTTTGCGCAAATTTGGGGAGACTTAACCTTGGCCCAGGTACATCCTGTGGGCGTTGGCTATGTGCTTGCCGCTCGGAAGGAGAGTCTGGCGAACAAGCCGTGGGTTTTGGGCCGGAGCCAGCCACCACATCCTGGTCGCTAAAGGCAAAACGGCGCCCTCTGAGGGCCCCACATTTTGTGAATTCCCCAAACCGGATCTGCCCCCTTCAGGGGCTTGAACCCGAAAACGGTTTCAATTCCAAGATCGGACAACTCCGGCTTCCGATGTTTGGTCTGTTGGAACCCCAAAGTTGGATGCGTACATGGCTGGAAGATTGCCATTTGCCTAACAGAGTCCAAGAGCTCACCCTAGATGGCGGCTCCCAATCGGAATCCCCAGAAGGGCGGGACAGCCTAGTCTTGGGCCAGGTCAACCTTGTTGGAACCAAGATTTGGGTGTCTTTGTATTTGGGTCCAAAAGTGAGATTCCTGACATGAGTGTTGGGTTCCAAGGAAACATACCGCCTCAGAGCCGCCGCCTTTTCTTCTGCTTTGCAAAGCCGTGTTCTCTACTGGGGTCCCCAAAAGGACATTCCGCTTCGAAAAAGGCATTTGTCTTTTCGCTGCAATATGTTGCTTTTGGCTTTGTTTTTTTCTCGGATTGTTTTTTTTGTCTTCTTTTTTTTTGGCGGGGGTGCCATGTTCATCTTGAGGAGAGGTGTTGATGTTTCGCCCAAGGATGACGGTGCTCGAGAGACGCCTGAGACGCCTGCGCGGAGATGCCAGCCACGCCGTTGCAGGCATCAGCCACTCGGCGTAGACGGATGGAGACCTCGTCTCGGAGAAATGGCGATTCTCAGTACACGCCAAGTATAGATCTTTTATTTGGGTGTGTTATTTTTTGGGGGCCCCAGGAATTGTTGGCGTCCTTTTGGTGTTGCTTTGAAACCACAACAGAAGAGGTCCCTCAAAAATGACAGACACAATTTGAGAGAGCGAGTATGCTATCCATTGCTTGGCGTTCCCTAATCCGGCTTGCAGAGTTGGAATCTTATGGGCATCGGGTGGACGGGTCTCGGGAAATTTAGGTGGACTAAACCTGGAATTGTTCGATAAAAAAAACCCTCGGATTTGGGCCAAGAGTGGGGACTCACAAGTGGGATGAACACCAGCGAGAATATGGCTTGCTTCTCATTGAGGATGTCGGAAATCGGCCCCCTGAAAACACCCCGGTTGCCAGTTGCCACCCCCAGTTCTTGTGGTCTTCCGTTGTTCCTTTTCCTTGGCTGAGGCTCATACACCTCATCCTTTCCCATAAGCCCCTGATTGGTGCGTCATTTCCAACTTAAGACGCAAGGCAAAGGAAACAAACAGGCAACAAACCCTGGTTTCCGCCTAGTTCGGGAAGTTTTTGGAATGGTCTCCATGCCAAAGGCGGCCTTTCTTTTGGCCGACTGTGCGCCAAACACAGCACCCTGGAGCCAAACACCTTGGGGGCCAAACATTGCGGAGAAGCAACTAAACAATCGTCTCGGTTTGTATTCTTTTGGGTGTCCTGGCTGTGCCTTAAGCTAGGGAACCCCTGGATGGTGTCAAAGAGAAGCCGAAAACAAGCCACCCAAAAGGGGCTCTCCTATCTTTGAGGAGGACTCAGGTCACCCAAACTTTTTTCTTGGGTGGAAGTGTTGGAGCAACCAAACACAACCCTCCTTGTATGTTGGTTTGGGACCCGCTGTGCGGGTGGTGTCCTCTCATCCAAAAAGGACACTCCCTGAGTTGCTGGGCTTTACTTTTTGGTGCACTTTGCTGGCATTGCCAAACAGTTTGGGTACTTTGGCCAATCAACTCTGAAATAACTTCCCGTTTCCTCCTTTGGGTTGTCCTCTTCCTGGCCATTCTCAAAGTCAACCCAGTTCAGTGATTGGTTGAAGGGAAACAAGCCATTTGCTGACCTGGTGTCCTCTGGTGTCCCTTTTTTGGGACCCCTTCCAATGGCTTCTCGATTGGTTTTCCCCTGTTTCCTCTTGGTGTCCAACTGAAAAGCCAACCAAGAGAAAGTTCCCCCCGCCCCAAAAAAAAGAAGACACACCCCCTGCATAAAGGCAAGCCCCTCTCCGTTTCGGCCTGAACCAAAGGCCGTGTCCCCCCTAAAAAAAAAAGGCGACGAACAGACGCCAACTCTCCCCGTTTCGCCGCCTGAAGCAAACGTGTCCGGAGGCCTCAGGGGCGCCTCCGTAGAGGCGTTCCAGCGGCGGCTCCTGGTCACCTGGCACCTCGACTCCAAAGTCCACGACCGGATCTGAGCCTCCGGGGATTTTTCTTCCTGTTTTTTGGGCCCACTTTTGGGCTTGTTTTGTTGGTACCCTTGTAAAAGGTGGTTTTTAAAGGGAACTCAAAGGGAACTCACCCAAAAAGGGGGACCTGGAGTCTCCTTCTGACCCTGGAAACATGGTTGGTCAGTACCCAAAATAAAGGGGTCACGGACCCATTTGTAAAGGGTCAGAAGGAGACCCCAGGCACTTTTGGATAGGGTGCCAAGCGGTTTTGGCTGGATCCTTTGGGCAGATGAGATGGGGGAACCTGCTTTTGGCGAGTTTGAATGGGAACCAACAGGGAAGCCGAAGCCATTTTGGGGATTTGGGGGTTCCCCCAAGAAAACCACCCCCAAAGTGTGCTGTTTCTCCCCAAGCACATGGGTCCATCTGTCATTGGAGAATGTTTGAGGCGTAAAAAAGACAAGCGATCTTCCTTCGAATGTACCCAGGGATGCCATGGCTGGTCCATCGGGTGTGACGGAAAACGGCCCGTTTGGGACCTGGTGGCAACGAATGGCTCGTTTACAGAAGGTCTAAGGACCATTTCGGGAGAGCTTAGAGCAACCCCAGCAATGTTGGGGTTATGTGGCCTGAGCTGTTTGTTTCAGTGTTGTTGGCATGGTTTGGGTTGTGTTGTTGTGTTTGGTTCTGTTTCTTTTTTAGTAGGGGGCTGCACAAAATAGTGTTTTGTGTATAGTTAAGTTTGCTTTTTGTTTTGTGTTTGATTCTTTATTATTATTATTTTTTTATGTAGTTGGCTGCCAAAAAGCCGAGCGTTTGCTACCATAGCACCCATGGGTAGGCAAGACATATCCAGCGCTCTGAGGCAATCTCCAACGGCTTCCTTCGCAGAGGACTGCATGTCGTTTTGTAGCTGCCGTGGGATTTGGGGAACCCGGTCTTGGGACCCTACCTGGAATGCGCCACAGGAACTCCAAAAGAGTTGCCAGCCTGGTTTTTCCCAGAACCCAGCGCAATTACATACATCCTTCACTAGTGCGGGTTGATTCCAGCTTTCTAATGTCTTGAGGTATCAGGGTTGCAAGAGTATTGACAGGGATTTGTAGGAGCTCGAAAGCCGCTGAACAATTGGATCAACCCAGCCAACCCACCCAATCCATCCACTACACCTCCTCTTTGCAGACTTCTGACGGCAGGGCCCCCTACCGGACGAGATCCTGTGCGCGGTGCAGCCGTTGGGCCAAAGCAAGCCCAGCATGCTGCAGCACCTTGGACGGCTCCAAGTATGTGTCATTTTGAGGGTACTCTTTTGAGGCCGTAACGGGACAGTAAAAGGGGAAGCAACATAGATAAGGTCCCCGCACCATATATGTATGTATATATATATAAGGTCACCTACTGTGGATGAATCCTCCAGCAATTTGAAACCCTCGTTGAAACCTCTGTTTATTGGTATTTAAGTTGGGGAATCTAATCATTCTGAACGGTGCGATTTCGGGATTGCGCAACCATCCACAGTTGACACAGAAATCTGTCTGG